TTGATTTGTTGATTTTTGAAAAAGTTATGGAAGTTTTAAGAAAAAAAAGTGAAAAAAATGACAAAATTTGTCGATTTTTAAATTTGTAATTTTTTTGGATATTTCCCCCATTTGCGGGGAACGAGGGAAAATTTTTAAATTTTTAAGGGTAATGTCATCAACTAGATACAATTTGTGATCTTTTGACGTATTGTTAAAAGAAATCGGTCCAGTGAGAGCTGAGAAAAAGTAGTGACAGACACAAAAAAAAAAAAATAAAATAAACACATCATGGTAAAATTAATACCTTCTCAGCTTCGCATCGAAGCTAAAATTGTTCTTATCACACATGACGAAATATTTTTTAGGTCAATTTTGTAGCGTGTGATATAATATAAAATCTTTAAATTTTTTGATTTACCTAAAGTGGTACTTCAGCATACGAGAGGGCGAGCTCTCTAGGAAGGAGATTTACGATAGTCCAAAACCCTTTTTGACTAATGCTTTATTGAAACGCTTGTGTATTCCAAACTATTAATTTATTTACTCTACATTATTTTCTAAGGTATTAACCGTCATTCAGGCGATGTTTAATAAATTTTAGTAAAATTATCATTCTGTTGAAATTTTTTTTTAAATAATTATGACCTTCTTAGGCTGCCTTCAACGCATATTTATCATAATTTATCACTAATAACAAAAAAAATTACAAGCATTTTAATGTATGTGCTATAAATATACACTTTTGCTCATGTAATGTTGGCAAACCCACGCTCATTTTTATCTATATTTCAAAGTTTAGCTAAGTCGAAAATTCATGATTTTTTTTTTTAATTATTTTTGTACGACAATTTCGTAAGTGTACTTTAAATAATTAAAAAGCATAAATATTTGCACCCTCCCATAACCTAGAAAGAAAAATGTCGAAAATCGGACAAAGAATAAATTTGTTTACTTTTTTCAAATTGTTCTTAATAAAAATGAAACTTGAGAACAAAATAAAAACACCATTAGATAATATTTTTTAAAACCTTTATTTACATATTTAATTAAGTCCAAATCAACTGACATGGAGTCATTTTATTGAAAAAAGCACGTACTTTTTTATTTGTTCGTATCATTGAAAATTTGGAAATAAAAATAATGAGAAAGAGAAAATATGTTTGTTTTTGTATGTAAAATATGAAAAAAATAATTTTATTTTTATTTAAAAATATTCTGAGTTTTATTTCTATCTTTTTATTCGTAAATTCTATAATTTATTAACTTTAAAAAATACGTTTAAAATCATTTGATTTATTAATTTAAAAAAATTGATGAATTATTCCAAAAGCTACATGATCTGCTATTTCCTTATTTATATTCTGATTAAGATAAAGTATGTCGAATAAAAGAGGTATATACATTTTATTTCTTATAAAAAAATTGTATTGATCCATACATTTTTCAATAAGTTATAGCATTATAAAGTTAAAAATGTAAAATATAAAATCAAAAATTTTCACACAAAATAGCATTTGGTAGCCATTTTGAAGACAAAATAAAGCCCAACATTTTTTTTCCCATGATGATAAAGTATATTACATAATCTTTAATTTAAGATATATATAAAAGTATAAGAGTTTCCGTACCACTTTCTAAAAGCCTTACATAGTTCTTTAATAAACAGTCAAAATAAAACAAGGTATAAAGATGATAAAAAGTTATAATCATTGATTAAATGCGACAAGCGTCTAGACATAGATTCAGAACTAGACCCAAAACACAAGCGATCAATCAATATTACAGTTCATTGCCTCAGTTAAAAAGAGGCCCCTTTACCATTGAATATCAATAAACAAAAATATCTAAAGATTCGATGACTACGTGGTAATACGTAATTGTATTAAACTAATAAAATTATTATATTAAAAGACAATATAAGTAATATAAAAATATAGTAGAGGATATTCATTTGTCCACTATCCTTCGCTACATGATTACATGTCAATAGGGAGTATCCGGACACCAAGGACTCTCTGTAATTCACCAATGTTTGGCTATTAAATAATAATTCAAAATGTTAACTACATTGTGCTATACAATAATTAATATTGTGACGCACACTAAAGTAGTAATAATATTAGTTATTATTTAATAAGAATTGATTACTTAGGACGAAAATTGTTTTTATTTTAAATGAGTTATTGTTAAATTATCGTTTTTACTAACTTTGCATACAAAAAATAAATCCATCATAAGAACATTAAAGTAAAATAAAATATTATATTCAATATTAATTTTAATATTTCCGAAGACTAAATACTTATATTAAACTAAATTGATCCACTTAAAATGTAAGTGAACTTGTGGGTCATATGTATACGTATTTTGATTTATAAATATATAGAGGACTTTCAAACTAAAGGATATTACCAGTTAAATTTTAACGAAATGTATGAAAGGAAAATAATGAAAATCAAGAGTTATCTGAACGAGCGATATAGATAATCTCCAATTGAACGGCGTTTTATAATAAGCAACCACCTTCAATCAAAAAACAATTTCTAATTGATACTGTAAAATGTTCTAATACCTATTTGAATTTAATTAGGCTTATTGAAAATTCCAGTATGAAACCAGAAAATTATCTGTGATTTTGAATAGGACCTTCCTCTCTTTGAGTGTTCACTTGATTGGAAAATTAGATAATTTTCAAAATGTTTTAATGTTAACAGTATTTAATACAAAACAAGTTATGTTATTAGCTTCGATGCGAAGCTGAGAAGGTATTAATTTTACCATGATGTGTTTATTTTTTTTTTTATTTTTTTTTTTTTTTGTGTCTGTCACTACTTTTTCTCAGCTCTCACTGGACCGATTTCTTTTAACAATACGTCAAAAGATCACAAATTGTATCTAGTTGAAGACATTACCCTTAAAAATTTAAAAATTTTCCCTCGTTCCCCGCAAATGGGGGAAATATCCAAAAAAATTACAAATTTAAAAATCGACAAATTTTGTCATTTTTTTCACTTTTTTTTCTTAAAACTTCCATAACTTTTTCAAAAATCAACAAATCAACATAATTTTTTTTTAAACTAAAACCTTAGATATTTTCCTTTCATTTGATATAATTTTTTTGAAAATTTAACACTTAACCTGCTCATGGGGGGGGATTTAAAATTGCAACTTTTTTACAAAAACTAACTTTTTCAACTTAATTTTTGAAAATGTTCCGGAAATACTGCGTCCTTTAAACATATATCAAATTAAAGCTTATTTTATGTACTATAAAATGAAAAAAAAAAATTTGTCCCGACACTTTATCTTCTGCATGTAAACGGTTGCCGTAGTTAAAAAAACACTATTTTTGTGTTAAAATTTTCGATTTTCGATTTTTAATTTTCAACTTAAAAATGCTATAACTTTTCGAAAAATGCATGTATCAGCACAATTTTTTTTTTTCTAAATACATTATAAGTACATCTTCCATTTGACATACTTTTTATTAAAATTAGACAATTTCCCCTTATATAGGGGGGGTTCAAACTTTGAAACATTGTATAAAAAATAGAACTTTTTCAACTGAACTTTTGAAAATGTTCCGGAAATACTGCGTCCTTTAAACATATATCAAATTAAAGCTTTTTTTATGTACTATAAAATGAAAAAAAAAAATTTGTCCCGACACCTTATCTTCTATGTGCAAATGGCTGTCGAAATTATAAAAAAAATGTAATATTTGCGATAAAAATCACCTTTTATAACGATGTTTTTTGTACTTAAAACTGCCATAACTTTTTCAAATATTAACTAATCAAAATAATATTTCTTTATATTGAAACCTTAGGTAATTTTCTTTCATTTGATATCATTTTTTTTTGAAAATCTAACACTTATTCTGCTCACAGGGGGGATTTAAAATAGCAACTTTTTTACAAAAACTAACTTTTTCAACTTAATTTTTGAAAATGTTCCGGAAATACTGCGTCCTTTAAACATATATCAAATTAAAGCTTATTTTATGTACTATAAAATGAAAAAAAAAAATTTGTCCCGACACTTTATCTTCTGCATGTAAACGGTTGCCGTAGTTAAAAAAACACTATTTTTGTGTTAAAATTTTCGATTTTCAATTTTTAATTTTCAAATTAAAACTGCTATAACTTTTCGAAAAATGCATGTATCAGCACAATTTTTTTTTTCTAAATACATTATAAGTACATCTTCCATTTGACAATACTTTTTATTAAAATTAGACAATTTCCCCTTATATAGGGGGGGTTCAAACTTTGAAACATTGTATAAAAAATAGAACTTTTTCAACTGAACTTTTGAAAATGTTCCGGAAATACTGCGTCCTTTAAACATATATCAAATTAAAGCTTATTTTATGTACTACTAAATGAAAAAAAAAAATTTGTCCCGACGACCTATCTTCTATGCGCAAAAGGCTACCGTATTTAAAAATATGCTATTTTTTATTAAAATTCTAGGTTTTGTATTTTATTTTATTTTAAAATATTTTATTAGGGGAATAAACTGACTTTCATGAATATTATATAATTTCATTGACATAGAATAAAGTTCATAAGACATATGATATTATACTTATTAACATTTTTTACTTTTTTAAAGTCGAAAAAGTAATTTTTAAATTTGAGTTAGCTTAAATAGCCAATTTTATCATGCAACAAAAATCAACGAATAGTTGCCGAATGGGTAACACCTTGATCTTTAACGCCTAGGGTACGAGGTTCAAATCCGTTTGTGGCTTCTAAAATTTTGCATTTTTTTTTTGAGTTAGAATAGAATTTTCAAATCATTTGATATTTATCTCATTTAGATTCAATAATTTCAATAAATATAAAGGATCTTATCACTATAGTCTCCCCTCGTGAGAAGAAATTGATATTCATGTTAATATTATTTTACTATGTGGTTCTTTTTCTGGCTACGATTTATTTTGCCAACCCTCACTAGACCTACTTTTTTCAACGATACGTCAAATGATTCATTTAAGTTTATGATATTTAAGTTAATGATTAGTTTAAGTTATTACTCTTAAAAATCAAAAAAATATTCCTTATTCAAATAAAAAGTAGCTTAACTAGATTTGTCCATACAAACAATTAAAATCATTAATTTTTAATATTCTTAAATTATTTATTGTCGAATTAAATTTGATATGATAAAAGTATTCAACTACAAAAGTAAATAATTTTACTTTATAATTTATTAATTTTTTAACTCTATTTCTGTGTGCTACTACCAGTCTATAATATGCCAAATTTTTTAGTAATATGTTGCTATATAAATCATAAATTTAAAAAAAAAATGATTTTTAGTTTCACCTGAAGTTAACGATGGAGTTTTACAATTATAATTATATTTTTGATAATATGCTCAATTGAGTAAATCTTTTTAACTACTTTGGTTTGATTGGTTCATTTAATTAAAGTAAATTATTAAAATTAATTAAGTTCTGAATATTTCAATTGCAGAATTTTTTTAAACACCAAAAGTTATTAGGATATGATTACTATTCTTTCTATTTCAGTTATCTATTACGATAAAAATGTAAAAAAATCGAATTTTTCTGACAAATGTACTGTAATTAGTAATTATAAAATTTCCAGATTGCATATTAATCTTAAAAATTTCATTTTTTTCAATTTAATAATGTCAATTTCAAACTTGCAAGTTGAACTATAAGTTATGGTAACAAATTCATTTTTTAGCTTCGATGCGAAGCTGAGAAGGTATTTTTCATTAAAACTTTCACTTTAAAAGACAATAAAAAATAGGTTCAAAATGATTACCTTTAACATATTAAAAATCAAAATCAGTATTAATTTAATACAATTTTTTTTGTTCTTAATTATTTTTTTTTATATGTAAATACTTATTTTTTAATAATAAGTAATAATATTAAAACTTAGAAGTAATAGAAAAAGTTTAATTGCACATTTGAAAACATCACGAAAAGTTTATTTAGAAAAGTATATTTTTTTTCTGATGAAAGTTCCTTTTGTTTAGTGTATTTATTCATAAGTAACAAAATTTTTTTATTAAAAAGTATTGCATAAATTCCTTTAAATTTGTATACGCATTAAAAGTATATGAATATACAACTCCTTTTTATTTTTATAATATCTCCGTAAAAATTACAATATTATATTATTGAATACCACTTTCATACTCAATTTAATTACTGTAATTATTATGTATTCATATATTATAGTTATAAATCGGGGTAAAATTAAGGGAATAAGTGTTATTGTTGTTTTTGAAATAATCTACCAATTTCATTTTTTTCTATTTAATAATATTTATTTCAAACTTGCAAGTTGAGTTAAAAGTTATGGTAATAAATTCATTTTTTTTTTATTAAAACTTTCACTTTAAAGAACAAAAAGAAGTAGGTTCAAAATGATTACTTTTAACATATTAAAAATCAATAATAATTTGAAAATAATTAATTATAAAAATTATATAATATATAATTAAAATAATTACTAATCTGGATATAATTAAGGAAATAGGAGTTGATGTTGGGTTGGGTTGGTTACATTTTTAACTTTATAATGCTATAACTCATTGAAAAGTGTACGAATCAACACAATTTTTTTATGAGAAATAATATTTTTTAATAATCCCTTTTTCATTCGACATACTTTATCTTAATCAGGGTATTAATAAGAAACTAGCAGATAATGTAGCTTTTGTAATTATCCACCAATTTCTTAGAATTAAACACTATCTACTGATTTGCATCGAAGCGTTTCTTATGATAGTGATTTTAATCACTGTCAGATTAAATCTATACTGGACCCAACTATGCAACATCCCCACTATGCCGCGACCCCACTGTGCTGGGTTTTTTTAAGTTATTTATGCACAAAAATAAAAAAAAATTCTGAAAAAACTATTGTTTTAAGATCTTAACTACACATTTAATTTTACACCAATTAGTTAAAATGATTGTTGTTTACAACTTCATAAGTGTTAGATTAATTTTTATCTTTTACAATATCGTCAATAGCCATAAATTTCAATTTTTCGATAGTCGCTTTTCTTTTGTCAATAGCTTTTTTTTCATTGGCTATTTCAACTACAAATAAATCATTTTGTTCTGCGATCATTTTCTTTTCCATTTCCAACTTTTCATTTAAATCATGCACATTTTTATGGAGCTGTCTTATATCTTGTTCCAGTTGTTCTGTTTTCATATTAGCAGTCTGAAAATTTGAAAATAATTATTAATCCTTCTTAATAATTTATTTAATATATTCTAATTATGTTGTCATATAATTTATTATTTTTCAGGTTTGGCTTCCCTCTTTCCTCTTTAATTACGTTCCTAAGTATACTAAAAATAGTTCAATACTATCAAAAATGTAACATTACCTTTAATCTTTGTAATGTCATAATCATTTCGTTTTCAACAGTTACGATGAAATTTTCACGAGCTTCTACGTTACCGACGGTCGTTAATAAAGATACTATACATTCTGAAATATCCTCATACTCTTTTACGACACCCCAAGTGCGTTTCCATTCTACTCTAGAATTTTTGTAACTCTTTAATCCGCGAAGAATCGATTCCCTTAATTCTTTGTACATTTCTCTTAAAATATTATCCAAACGTGATTTTATTAATTGCATTATATGTAGTTTTTCCTGAGTAATTAGTTTCAAAACTCTAAAACGAATTTAATCAATATATTTATAAAATAAATTTGATTTATAAATATTAACGATAAAAATAAAACGCCTATACTTACGTGTTGACAACGCATGGTGGATATTGTACAAATAAAAGATCTGTTATTTTAACAGTTGGCTGTCCTTTAATAGCGTCTTGAACCGCCATTAATGTCATAAAGTCCTGACACAAGGTCGCTGGTTGAAGTATTAATTGCATCGCTAGAGTAGAATTTTGCGTTTGTACTTTTTCTAAAATTACTTGTCTCTCTTCAATCTGCACAGAAATTTTTTTAAATAATTATTATGATTTTAAATACTTTTTAATTTCTTTTAGTTAAAACTACTTCTTGAATAACTCTCTTAATGCGTTTTTTTAATATAGACAACATATTGAATCTACGAAACTCTTCAGGATCTCGAACACAATTCATCGACATATCATCCAAAAGAAACTGTATTAATTTCTCTACATAAGGATCTCGACATTCAATGGAGTTTGTATTTTCTTCTCGTAGCATCTCTTGCTCTATATTATTATAAATCATTACATAAAAGTCTTTAGCTCGTTTTCTAATCTCAGGTTTGCGTCTTTGGCTTAGCACTTCCCATACGTCGTTTGCCAAATCTTTCAGACTAGAATCTATTGTTTTTACATCGTTTAGTTTATCGTGTTTTAGAGATACTACCGGTAAATCTTGAGCATTTGGTGACAAATATTGGCTGAAAAAGTTTAGAAAATATCTTGTTATACAGGTTGATTCATTTATCAAGAGTCAATTAATCGAAATATAAAAATACTAATAAGAATTTTTTTTTTAGTTTCTTATGGTACATGTTTTTTTTGATTAATCAATTATGAAGTATTTTTATGTTCCCTCTACCTTATAAAGGTGTCAACTATATTTTTTTCAAATGGTTACAAATACAAATACTATTACTATTTTAATTATTATACATTGATCTATTTAAGAAAAGTCTATAATAACTTTCTGACTAAAATTTCATAAGTTAAGATAAGAAGTGAGACCGAGAAATGTCTAGTTATAATTATAGCAGCACTTACACCTTTTCGCCAACCATTAATTCAAATTGTCAATCATTTTTTAAATACTAGTCCAAAAATAATTATAAACCAATCATTTTCTTAATTAGATCAATGTATAATATATAACTAATAGTTATACAGGTTGTTCAGTAAGTGAGTAAACAGGTCAATTATTACAAACAAATTGAACAATAAAAACCCGTTTTCTTAGTTACTAAATATGTGAAAATGTGCCAATTGAAAAAAATAAAGTTGGCACTCTTATTAGGTATAAGGAATGAACATAAAAGATAAATTATGATGATTGATAAATTGAGAAAAACATGTACCTAAAAAAAAACCAAAAAAAATGCTCATTATTATTTTTATTAATTAAATGACCGTGATAAATAAATCACTCTGTATAAACAATATTTGTATGCTAAAATTTAACACGACAAAATTGTTTATCTCTTTTTATATTAAATGTAAAAAGATATTAAAAAAAAATACTTCATTGACTAATTAGAAACAATCATAATTTTTTTGGAAGCGACCTACACAGGATTTCCTTTGTCATCAACCCACAAAGGTTCATCATTAACATCACCAATAGTTATCGCAATATAACCAAATAATACAGTCCCATTTTCCAAGTGCCTAATTGATACGTATGTGCGTCTATCTGAAGACAATTGATTTAAAGTTTTAAGAGGTAATTCTCTATTTGTGATGTTTGATCCCAAATTCTTGTAAATCTCTTTAGACTCCGTAGACTCCTTTTTAATGTTATAAATTATATTCAGTTCACTTAAAGGTCCACTGGGGGGATTTTTCGTAAAAGGGTCTTCCAATTTCCCATCAATTAAATTCATTATAAATTGAGACAAGTACATATTTCGCAACATAGCAGTTTGGATATCCGGATGAGGTGTTCCTAACAAACGGTTTATCCAAGCCTGATAAGCAAAATATTTTTAAATCGTAACTTATTAGAACACTTTTATTCATGTATAATCTCAATCATATAAAATAGGCAATAACACTAATTTCTAGATAATTTATTCTTATCCAAGTCGATCTAATCATTTAACAGCAATATGTGTTATCTTACATAATACATTATTACAGACATTATACATTACTTTTGTGTAATAAAAAATATGTATATATTCCTTCTTGTTTTTAATTTGTTTTATTATTATTTATATAATACTTATTTTCATCTTCAAAAATCTATATAAAGGTTTTATGTTTACAGGATAATAAAAATGACTAAAAACGTGTTGTTCATAAAAAAATAATAATATATAATATCTCTTATAATACATATATTTTACCTGAACTAGTGTTTTATTCAAAGGTTGATTGAATTTGTCATAAGCTTCCCTCAAATACATAATGTATAAAAAGAAATGTTGTGTTAAAATATTAGGTAATACTTCTTTTTCATTTGTATTGTTGTTTGAACTTTTTAATGTCTGCAAGTAATTCATTTTATGTATAATTTTTCAGTTGATTTACTAAATTTTAAAAATATTGTTTAATTTAATTTTAAATAAATATTAAAAATATTTATATGATTAAACAACATAGTTGCCACGAAGCAAATATATCCTATTAAATAAAAAAATGATAAGTTGAGGTAATAAATATCATATTTATTTGAAAAAAATAATACATCATCCATAAAAAATAATTAAAACAATAACAAAATAAAATAAAAAATTAGACTAGTATAAAAAGAACATCAATGTATAAACAAGCGTAAATTTAGTTAAAAAAATCAAAAGTCGGAGAGAAACACATATTTTAATAGTTAAGATTACAGTTTTATTATAATATATAGGACTTAACAACTTTTGATTATTCAATTTATTCGGTTAGGAAGTTTTACATTAGCAGTAGAAATTAAAAAACAAAACTTTTCAGTACATGAATTGTTATTTTTAGCACCAAGTTTTACTTTACATTTATTAAAAATGATTTTAAATATTTATCTTAGCTAACAAAAAAGTTTTATAGCTAAACATTACATATCCTTTTAAAAAAATGTATATTAGTAAAATATTTGGCACAAAAATCATTTTTAATTTACAACTCTTGTATAAACAATTATATAAATAAGTCAGTTTAGTTTTTCAAATTAAGTTAAGTATAGTACTAAAAAATAATAAATTAAATTAAGTTGATTGCCTGTATAAAATTTGAATTTTTAGTAATTATATAGTTGAAACAAACGTTTATTTTACATGTTGTGTCGATTTTTTAACATGTTTACAACATAATTGAGTGTTCCGGAGTTTTTACCAAATTATACATTTTTCTTCTGGATTCATGGGAGTACCTATTTCACAGTTGAATACTTTTGAAAATTCTTCAAGATTACTTAAAGGTCCATTTACTCTATACTGGGACGGGGAATGTAAATCTTTTTCAATTTGCAATTTCATGGATTCATCTGTACTCGACGAGCACCAAACCTATGAAGTATAAACATTTAAATATTTCACTTTATTTCATTAACTTATTTATAAAAAATAAAAAATTATTATAAAAAAAAAACAAAATATTATAAAAAATAAACAAAATAATTTATAAAACCTTATTATAATGATTTACCTGTGCAAAACTGACAAAAAATAGTTGCTGAGTAGTAAGATGGACTGCTGGTAACCTATATGAATGAGCTCTTCCTTCTTCCAGACGTTTTTCATACGCGCGATACGCTGCCTTTAATCCGCCATTATCTGCAATATTTTCACCTAAAACAGTTTACATTAACTTAGTATTTAAGTATACCATTAACCTTGTAAAATATAAACAAATATCATCACAAACGCTACCAACCTAATGTTCGTTTGCCATTGATGTTGATTCCATTGATTTTATAATTAGAATATTGTTTGATCATGCAATCTGTTGCTTGTTTAAATTTGTCAACCGTATTATTATTCCACCACTGATGGAGATTACCAAAACGATCAAACTCTCGTCCTAAAATAAGTGAAAAATAAGTTGGAAGGGAATAAATTATTATTGTAATATTTGATTATATTATTGTTGATTGTATATATACATAAAATAATTTTATTATCTATATGACAGAAATTTCTACTTCAATCCTACTCAGGGATTGAAACATGATGAACAATTAACGCAGATTTACCTCCCTAAACAGTGTCCCGGGTTTATGATGCACGTTACCGTGTCTCGCAATTAAAATTAATTCGTTTTTAGTTATTATAATTAACAGTTAGTTAAAATAAAAAGTTCGATAAAAAAAATACCTTGATCATCAAACGCGTGAGTTAACTCATGTCCCATGACAACTCCCATAGCTCCAAAATTAATAGAGGGCTGCTGCATTTGGTCGAAAAAGGGTGCTTGTAAAATACCAGCAGGAAATACTATTTGATTTTTAGTCGGCGTGTAATATGCATTTACGGTTGGAGGAGTCATGCTCCATCTAAAAAATATAATGAATTATAATCATTTGTATCGAAATTTATAAAAGGTATCCTTCAAATACCTTGTTCGATTGACTGGTTGATCCAGTTTGTACAAGTATTGTTCTAAGTTGAATTGTGTAGCTCGTATGTTATTCATAAAATATTCGTCAGAACGAACAGTTAAATTTTTATACTTTTCGTCTAATTGATCCGAATCCATTATATAATCTGGAAAACCTTCATAAATAAAAGTAAGTTAGAGTTTTAAAATTCAATAGCATACATAAAATTAAATTTTAAGACTAATGACTAATATATTACCAATCATATCAGTTATTGCATCCGCTTTTTTTTCGGCCTCTATCAATGTTTCTTTGTCCATCCATTTTAAATTTTTAAAATTTTCCTTGAATGATGTTCTAATTTCATTTATCATTTCTTCTGCCTATTACGATTTTTTTTTGAGTTGTTAATTATTATTCTTATTAAAAAAGAAAGTAGACGTTGAATAATTTTTACTCGCCAATTTTTTTGAATGTCCATGAAAAACATCACGTACATATAAAGCACCTAATGCAAAACCTAAGACATTGTTTGTATCACTTATACAGTATCTCCAAGGTTCTTCGCCTCCTTCTGAACCTAATAGTGCTTTTCGCAAACCTTTGTATGCATCTCGAAATACTTTGGATAAGTATGGTGTAACTGTTCTTACGGTTTGCCAGATCAAGTAATTATTAATTACTCTATAAGTATTTAATATAAATTAAGTAAAGAGCTAATGAATAACTCTGTATAAATTATTTTAATTTTGAAAATAATTTGTATTACGTTTTATTCTCAGGACTTTTACTGTACTCGTCAATAAGTTTTGACACATTTGCCATAAATGTTGGTGAGTATACCACGACGTTTTCTTTACTAGTAATTTTTCGGTTAACCAAACGGAATGCTGAATTAAAATAACGATTCCATTGAATCTAATAAAAAATACTTTTATTAAAAGATTATTAGCTTTTTTAATTTAAAAATAATACAAATGGAGCCAAATTTTGAAGATCATTTATGGAAATAACATGGTAAGACTTTTCTTCATCCCTCTTTTCTTCGTCAGGCTCAGTAAACTCAGCCAACCGCATTTCAAATTCTATAACTTTCTTCATTTGCGTTCTGGTTGCATTAGGCTCTCCACCCAATAATGTTCCTATCTGAAATCTCAAGTAAAATGAAATTATTTTTGTTTGACCAAATTTTATAAAGTTATTGATTTTATTAATCTTTATTATATGTAAATGACTTGAATGCAAGTGCCCACCGTTGTCATGTAATCTAAGTAGGTATCTAATAGTTTCTGATTTGCTGTCTTGTTTAGGTAAAAGTCTCTCGCCGGTAAAGTCAATCCTCCTTCGTCAATCTATTATCAAAGTTATTTTTAAATTATTATATTAATCAAAATAAATCAATCTACCAACCTGTATGATATGTCTACTTGAATTTCTATCATCTTCTCCCACTATCCAATAAAACAATCCAGCCATATTATATCGATTATGAACGGTTTCTAAAGTTTTTTGTAGTTTCCAATTTGATACATTCCATGATCCAGAAATATTCCATCCACCAATTTCATCGAGTAAATTTAATAATGGTTTCGCACCTAATGCTTCAATTGTGTTGTTAGTATCCATGCAAGCCGTGAAGTACATCTTAGCTTTAAGTTCTGCTTTACTATTGGAGTTTGCTGGTATTGCTTCTATAAATTAAATTAAAAACCTAATTTATGAACATTTCAATAATACATTTTTTAAGTAAATTTATCCTATTGATATGTGAATGGCTTTTTGATGGATTTTTTGACTATGGTGAAACACAATATTATATCTTCATATGACCATAAACTAAATGCGGAAAATAATCACTTATTAAAATAGGATTTACCAAGTGCATTTTTAACAATCAGCTGATTATTCATTTCTAATTCATTAAACATGCCCCACATTGACCGACCATCTGGTACTGGATTTGCTTTGATCCATGAGCCACAGGCATACTTGTAAAAATCTTGACAGGGATCGGACTTAGTGTCCATTCCTTTGACAATAGCTGCTGCTGTAGTAACGCATGTCTCGCTCAAACAATATTCTTGAGAACACAAATATTTAAGATAATTTTGGTTAATATAATGCGGGAAAAGTTTTTACCTTGACCAGAACTAACAGAAACAGATTCTTCGTAAGTATTTATAGGATGTATATTTGTATTACAATTTTGTTTTGAACCCACTTCAAAAAAAAATATTAAAAGTAATAATAAAGTGTAAAAAGTGCATATTGCAAGAAGAATTTTTTCCATTAACGATCTACTTTTCCATCTAGACCAAATACTTCTAGGCTTTCCCTTTATAAAAAAAATAAGACAGCTTTTATTTAAAACTAAATTTTCTATTATTGAGTATAATGTCATTACTGTATAAAAACGTATATGAGTGGAAGACGCCGTGACTCCTTCAGTTAAATGTACTGATCCCATACTTGATGTTTCCTCTTCGAATACTTTATGTTTATAATGAGCCATCTAAAATCAAAAATATTATAGCATTTAAAATCTGTTTATCTAATAAATTTGGTTAATTATTGATTCAATTAAAAAAAATAATACTCCCTGTACTAGCCCTTATTTTTTAGGTCAACAGCCTATCTAAGAATTTTTCCTGAGTGGAGAGTTACAATAAAAAAAAACATATTTTTATGCGTCAAAATGAGTTTATTGTGTAGCATTTTACCAATTATTTTATTATAAAAAAAATATCTTTTGCGCTATAATAAAAGTAAATAGTCTTTATTCACTGGTTTATTCAACTCTATTTTAATGAAGGTTAATAAAACCTTTAAAGAAATAATTACTGAAAAGCGTATAGCATTCAGCTTAGTAAAATAGGATATAAGAAATAATAAACTAGTGACCTTAGGTCAACAAGTTGAAATAATACTTTCTTTTCCAAGAAAAATGATTATCAGTTTTAAAAATTGGGGCGTTTAAATTTGGTTCACTGGACATTTTGTATTTATTTGAGTGATTTTAATTTTTAAGCCTAACTATTAAAAAGAAGACACAAACTAACCAGAAAATATTTATTCTTAAATATATATATTTTAACTAAGTAATTTATAAAGATAGTCAGAATTACAAAAAATTACAAAAATTGTTACAACACAATTTTTACGTTACATATTTAACTTATAATAGTTAATAGTAAAAACTTTTTTAGCAAAAAAAGGAATGTAATTTCTTATAAAATTGTAATAATTTTATAATATAATCAGAATATTTTATCATATACGCTATTGTATTCAACGAATAAATTATCAATTGTAAGTTTAATTCAACTTGAATCCAAAACGTTACTTCGTGTTTGTCTAAAGATTCGTTTCATATTTAAATGCTGACCTTTTGTATGGATCATAGAAATACTATAGCACATGTAACCATTATACGCTTATTAATACATTTATACAAAGGGAGTACAAGCTTTACTAAATTTATTACAATACATTGTAATGAAAAGAAGTATTTATTGTTAAAATATCTTCAAAAAAATCTTAATAAAAATATTATTCTTTGAAATGTCGTTGATGAAAAGTTTTAATATCTGATATTCATACAATTATTTCTTCAACAATAATTATTCCAAAGACATATAGCGACAACTAAATGTAACATTTCAAATACTCAGAATAATATTAACTATATGTTATCGTAAAAAGTATGTGTCACGCATAATTTTTAATGATAAACATTTACGTCACTTTATCTTTCAATGCTTTTTACTGAAGTGTTCTAAATTATAATACCAACACATTATTTTGCAAACAGAACCAATTAGTTATCTTAATATTTATTTGTAGTATTATGTTGCAATTTATAACTCCCCTAAAAAAGTAATACAGAATAAACCATAATAATATGTATGTATGTTTGTTGTAATTTTAAACCCAATTATGATGAGAGATACAGTTAGTGTTTTACTCTTCAATTCTGGTTCTGTATAGATATATTTTTTGTATATTTTACGAGCGTGGTGCTCAATGTTATAGTTCACTGTAACTATTAATATTATTGAATTTATACATCATAATAGGTTTAGTAGTGACGTAATTAGAATTTCGTTTAGGAGGGGTTACATAAGAATATTTTTGAATTCCACCTCCAAACGAAAAAAAATTGTTATATCATCACTATTTAATTATTTTTATCATGGGCAATATGACATCCATATCCCCCCGTTATTACGGCAGTGAGGTTCAGAGTTTTCACACACAATGTATAAATTAGTAAAACTATTTATAATATATTATCTAATTACATGTAAAAACTTATTACATACGGGTAACAAGTAAGTTAATATTGAAATAATCGAGTCTAATAAAACCATAAATAGAAGACTATGGCTTATCCTTCTGAGAGTAAGACTAAAAATTTGAGCAATATAAGTTAATTATAAACACGTGGAACAGGTATGAATTAAAAATAATAATAATATATTATGTTTTACTTGATCAAAATCTATTTAAATTTCAAATATAAATTTTAGACCAAGAAAATAGGTTAAAATCTCTGTATATTATTAAATGTAAAACTAAGATAAAATTTTTTGTTTTTTTAAATTCCTGTTTTGTTTTAATTGGGCGAGTAAAAAGAATTCTTATTTAATGGAAAATAAATACATTAATTTCAACAAATATAATTTAAAGGAAATTTATAAAAATAAATCTTGTTTATTGCTATATTTTATTGAGTACTTGGCATGCTATTTGTTTTTATTCGACAGCACCTTTATAGATAAATGCACATTAAAATATAAATCAGAAATTAAATCTAAATACTCTGCATAAACTAAGATTACTCTCAAGATACTATACATTTTAAATATGCTCAAATACTTTTATAGGTAATGGTCGGTTACTTTTTAAATACTTTTTCTTCTTCAATTTTTCAAGTTTACATTTTACCTATATAAATTCAATAAAAAATGATATAAAAACATTTTTGTTACATTATCTTCTTAAAAATAAAATAAAATGTATGAACATATAAAGTTTTCGTAACATCAAACAATTTTAATTTTAAAATTTAATTTGACCTATTTATTTAAATAAAGTACCAGAGCAAATTTTAATATCCATATATAATTCAATAAGCACTTAATGAAAGTTAATACGTTTAAGTTAAATTAATTAACGTATTGATTCTAAAACTAAATATTACACATTGGAATTTTTGTATTTACAAGATAGTTTTTTTTCTCATCGTGTCATACATTAACAATATCATGGAGGCCAGTAAATTATAAAATTAACTATGATTATTATTAAACCTATAGTAACACTCTCAATGATACGACATTAATTTTGAGAAATTATACTTGATTATCGTGTGATAATATACATTAGTAACCGTCCCTTAAAAGTCTATCGTACAGACATGTATTCTTTTTCTATTTTTAGACGCGTTTTTGTAAGTACCGTTTATATTTGAATACGTTTTTATTTTTGCATGTGTGTATTTACCTTGTACGGGTATATTGAATAGAACACTAATTCCGGATTTGGCTGATTTCCGGCAAACTGTTGTTTTTATGATGTGCGCTTTTGATAAATGTTTTTAGCGAACGTTGATCGACACTGCCGATATTTTTTGCGGCCTAATTATTATACGCCGTTGCAGACCAGGTATATTCTCCATGATCGTATATAATCGATTACTTAATGTCAAATGTGTAACAAAATATTAAGTTTCGAAAGTGAAACGTCGTCCTAGTCCGTAAGTTTAAACATACCCGAGTACTGCTATTAAACTAAATGTTTAATTGCAGAAACGCGTTGAATAACATATCGGACTACGATCCAAAACTGATTAATTGCTAAGATATATATTTTTTATAAATACATCGGCGTTTCCGATAAAAATTTGTGTTGAAACGGTGCGCGTGTACGGCGTGTGGTCCGCCGAACGATATTGATCCAGGGGCGCCCACTAGCGCGGGCCTTGCACACTTTTTGGAGGCCACTAGAAACTGTAGCGCGCCGCCGTAGCTGCAGTTGCCCATTTTGAATACAACTAACGCCGTGCCTTTTTTTATTATCTGTTTAATTTAACTCGACTTATCTTTTAATTTACAATACTGCAATCTTTTAATAAACAAAAACAATAAATAACAGTGATCAACACATAAGTAAAAAGGACATTGATAACATGAAACCGTCATGTAACAAAACCTCCATAGTGACGTATTAGGGTTTTTTTATTTGGAGGGTATACATAAGAACATTTTTTAATTCCCCTCCCACCCCAAACGAAAAAAATTGTATTTTTGCCATATAATTATTTTTGTCATAGAGGTATATAACACTCATTTTCCTTTTCCGATGATTACGCCAATGAACCTCAGAATTGATATATATATATATATTTAATTATGTCATTTTGGTCTAAAGTAAATTTTAAGACTCATTTTTTTATTATCTACGAGTAATGTTTTGAAGAAATTAATGATAAAACATAGTTATAGTCAAGTGCGAAAAAATGTGTACATTAACAGTAGCTTTTTTTGAGTCCTTATGAAAGACAGTATTTGCTAAGTACCACGAAGGCTTGAATAGGACGTATATTGCTGTGTTAGCTGGACCTCATATTTGTATTCCATAGAACCACACTAATTTAATTATTGTTTTATGAATAAAAATTTATTTCTTAGTCTAAAATTTGATTTTAATATTGGCGCAATTAAATGAAGACAAGTTTTTTAGTGCATGTCTTGTTATCGCCAAACACTATCCCAAACCTGAAAAACATCGAAAATCTGCTTATCAACTACTTTTTTTTTTTATAATACCAAATAAACTGACATAAATTAGTATGATCAATGGTTTCAATGACTCATTCATTGTGTTTTAATATATCTTCAATCAAGTGGCTAAATTGATAACTTAGTTGAAAAATTATCTACTTTATCAAAATATTTTATTTAAACTACAATATATATGTCAGACTAATGATAATTATTTTTTCTCTAACAACTTTAAAAACCCTGTTAATATTTTTTTAAAACGTGTTATTTTTTTAATTAAAATCTGATACTACCAAAAAACACATCATAGTAAAATTAATACCTTCTCAGCTTTTGCATCGAGGCTAATAAAAATTTAAAAATTTTTCAAACTTTAAAATGTTGTAGAAATGTAACTACAAACCAAAAACTAACAAAAAATCTACTCTAAACATGATTATCTTGATAATTTTTTACATAATTAAAAAAAAATATATTTATTATTTTCAATAAATTAAAAAAAATATTTTTTCTTATTCCTAAAATATTAAGATAATTTAAAAAAATAATAACACAAAATATTCAACAGTTCAAAAGTTATTAAATTTACTGTAACAGTGTGAATCATCTTGTATATAATTTTTAAATATGACGAACAGCAAACAATATTTTATGGATTATTGAATTATATTTAAATTATAATGTATAGCAAAATATTTTTAAATATTAGTTTACTAAGCTGTATAATAACTAAGCTGTGTTTTAACACATTCATGTATAATAATACATTTCAAATTTCAAAATTCTTCCACATTATCACTCTTAAAGAAATTCTTTTCAATAATAATAATTAGATCGTCCAGTTTTATTGTACCATCAGTGTCATTAACAATTCCAAGTGACTCAATTAATTGATTCTGAAAGTAAAAAAATTGAATTAATAATGATAATCTTAAATATTTAGCTAAAATTTTATTATTGTTTATACTTCAGCAGAAGTTCCAATACATTTCAAAAACTGATCGTACTCATCTTTTGAAATATCGCCACTTTGATCTTTATCAACAGTCTAGTATAACATTTTTAATTAAAAATAAATAAGCCAATTTTGTTTAGCTGGTGATTTTTTAATTAAAATTTAAGTATACTTTAAATAAATAGGGCAACAATTGAATGACATCGTGTTTTAACTCCTTATTTTGCTTAACATATTGAATATAATTCAAGTACTTTTCTACAGTAACATAACTAAATGGATCAATGCAACCCCAATGTTTATACCATAAGTTCTAAAAATGTACAAGAATTTTTTTTCAATTATAATTTTAGTTTTTTGTTTAATTAGAAAATTATTTAAAATTAGAATTACTTTTATAACTTTACTAAACATCAAGCTTTGTTCTCTTGTCATATTATTAATAGTAGAAAATCTTTCTGTAAGTTCTAAAAGATCTTCCGAAGAAACAACTCCATCTTTATTTACATCCATCAATTCATGATAAGCTCTTAATTTTGAAGCCCATTTACTATTTGGTTCCTATTTTTAAGTGAAATACCAATCACTTGATAACTCAAATTAGTTAAATATAACATTTTAACTAAATTTACTCTAAACATATTTAAATTTGAATAATATATTTTTGAATTTTAGTTGTGTTTTGATACTTATAGGTATCCTAAAGATCTTAATGGTCAAAAATAAAGTCCAATAACTAAAATTGCTTTCCTGCGTTTTATTCTCACTTAGTTAGGCTCGACATTTAGAAATCAAATTATATAAATAATCTGTCGACCCTTTCCATATTTAAAGCACTTTTAGGCAACCACTCTTGTATAACCCCTTTTAAAATGGGTTTACTACTAGTACGAACAATTGCGTGTTAATAACGTGTAATAATACTAATTAATTCTATTTTTCATAGTCCTTACCAAATTTTTGTTGTGTTTTAGTCGATGTTCATTTTCAAATAATTTTCTGCTCACGATAAATCTATTACCACGATCGAGATGTATATATTTTTGACAATTTTTATTTAAAACAATCATCTAATATAATAAAAATCAATTGTAGACTAATAAATAGTAAATACTAATATAGACAGTGGCGTAGATACAGGAAGGGTTTAAACCCTCCCAGAACCAAAAAAAATAATTATTTATAAATAAAGTAGAGGTACTATTTAAAATTATTTTTTTACATTTTGTTAATAATATTATCAATTAATTTTAAATAAAAAAATACATCTTTAAATATTAATTAGTCAATAATTTAATATGAAATAACCCCCCCCCCTCAGAAAATAATCGTATCTACGCCACTGAATATAGATAAATAATACTCATTAATGAATCATTTTAACCTAATTTAATTTATATTTACACGATGTAGGGTTGCAATTAAAAACCACAATGTTGAATGTTTATAGAAGCACTATGTGTAACATAGTGCCTCTAAATTGAACCCTTGCTGTTACATTTATACATTAAATTGGTTAATATCTAGTTTTTAGTTTTATTTTTTGAAGTAATCGAGTAATATTAAAAGTTAAACATTTAATAATAACTGAAATCAGTTTTAGATTTAGAGTATGATAAATGGAATCGTGTACTAAAATAAATAAAATTTTTTCTAGGGTTTCTTTAGTTAATACAAATTTTAATTGTAGATTGCAAAAATTGTACACAAACATGAGATTAGTTTTTAAGAATCATAAAAAATTTGTCTTACCCTTTTTAATATATTTCTGTTCATATTGATACAATTTATATGTTAGCGTATTTGTTTTAATTTGTGTTTAAGTTGCTAATGTTATGATCGTGTGATGTGAACAGCAAGTGAAATTGTAATACTGAAATTATTTTAAAGAATTATTTTCTTTTATATGAATACTATCTCAACCTAATCATTTTACTATAAACTTTTTACTGCTAATTTTTCAGGTTGACGTAAATTCATCACGGACATTTATAAACAAATTATAGATAAATGGCTATTGTCATTTAATTTAAGTGAGGCTTCTGCGTAGATTCATTTTATTTTATGTACAATCAAAATGATCACTAATTTCAAAGTACAAACTATTAGTTATAATTTACCTACACAAATCGAAATATGTTTGTTTAACAATAAAAGCACTATACATTTGCATATTATATTAATTTTATCAAAATAAATAATTACAACTCAATAATAACAATAGTTCATGCGAACGTGACATATATCAAATAGACCAATTATAATTTAATCCTATTGTAGTTATAAAATTGAATTAAGCATATTACTATATTGTACGCACATCCAGAGTTGCCGAAAAAAATGTTTTTTTGGGGAAGATAAGAAATGAAAATATTGCGAATTAATATAAAATAATTATAATGGTTTTTTGGCAGTTTTGTTTGAATTCTAAAATTATGGGCTCAAGACTTGAGCCCGTAAACATAAACCTTATGTTCAAATTTCAGCAAGTCCATAAATGTTTTTAATACAAAAGCTTGTTACATTATAACTTTGAAATAAAAAAAAAACTTTATAAATACATTTTAAAACAATATAACAGTAATATATATCAATATTATTTCGTAACACTGTAACTTCTTTGTGTGCAAAATGATAAACATCACTTTTCTGCAAATGTTAAAATTAACTCTTAAAGGTAGAATGCTTGAAGAAACAGATAATGTCTACTTATTAAGTATTTTAGAGCGATCATGTTTAATTTTTCTGTTACTATAAATATAATAACTTATTATTGACAATATACCATTTACAATATTGTTTGACATTTGAAGTATATATTATATTACAACAAATATAATGAAATAATATTTTTGAACTTTATAAATAATGATGATTATACAATCAATATATTGACGGGTTAGTACAAGAAGTTTTTGACGAAATTGTGTTATTTTATTAAATCTAAATTAAAATTTGTTGTATATAAATTTAAATGATAATACGTACGGATAATAGAAAATAAAAATTTCAAACTACTCTCCTGGAAATAAACAAGATGCATTGAGCCATCGATATATATAGATATAGACATATCATATTAGAATATGTGATACTTCGCCAACAGATATTCAACCCTATAAAAACAAATTTTCACATATTTTTAAATAAAATGATAATACCCATTTTAACGCTTTATACATGAAGTTCTGATTTTAGGTACCCTAGTTCATTTCTCATCAAGATCATCCCATGGAAAGTTCCACATATGGCAAAACTCATTAAATTTATATTTTTTCTTGAAATGTTGAAACTTAATTTCAACTTCTTCATTATTAAAAAAAGAAAGTTATAGCATATCAACAATGATTGAATTTTAATAAGAATATTTGCAGCCAAATGTTTAGCCAGGACTAGGGCATATCAAATATACGGGTTAAAATTGCATTCATATTAAATAATATATATATTTTTAAGATACATAGCTACATTGATTGAAGAGTGTTTTTTATATGTAAAACCCCTATCATGGAAAATTCTATGCAATCCATTACTACAATGGACATAAATTTTAAATTAAATGATTTTGGTACTTTTATTAAAAATTATAATTATAATACATAAACATTTATAAAAATATAATATAAACAATAAAGTAGATCAGAATAATTTCTTTTGAAATAAAAGTTTATATACATAATATGATTAAATAATTTTTAAATTATTTCAAAACATAATTTACAATTTTCCTTATCTTTGTTTATATAAAGTTAAACATTTGAATAATTTGTAAATAATAATAAAAACATTAATTAAAAGTATAAATTTACTATAATAACATAGATAATTTAAATGATAAAAATATATGAAAATACTCTTAATGAGATTGTGTCTTTTCTACATCATATATTTATAAAAATAATAACTCAATGGATAGAATATGAGTAAGAAAGCAAAATCATTAGTTATAATAAAATATCCACAAAATTACTAAATTATTTTACAAAAATGATTAAAATTAAATCTTAACAAATATTTAAATTATTAAAAAATATATTACACATAGTGTAATATATTTTTGTAATTATGTTTCATGTAAACATAAAAATGCTGATAAAGTTTCCTTATAAACCAGCGCCTAAAAATGCATAATTACAAATTTAACAATTAATTTAAAAACAAAAGATTTAAACATTTTAATAGAAAGTCTTATTATAAATCATTAACAAATTATTTTTTCAACAAATAAATTTTGTACAATCTAGTCATAATAAATCAGATTGTCAGCACTAACAAATGTAAATCAAATTTAACTTTAAAATATAAATATGATTTAACAAAGAAATAATAATTAAATTGTTATTATTGAATAATTTTTACACAATTGACAAAACTTTTAAAATATATAGAGATTATTAATTAATATTTCATTACTCTACGAACAATGTATATTTAAGATATGTTTATATCATATATTTTTTTTATCACAAAACTGCTTAAAAATTCTCATTAATTTTCTAAAATAAAAATTTAGTCAACTATTTCAAGATATATAAAAATGGAAATTGATAAAAAATAAGCAAAATATTAACTTTTATTAATCATTGAGCTATTTATATAATTACTAAAAAAAAAATTAAGAAATTATAAAAATTTAAAAATTAAATAAAAAATATTAAATTAACAATTTTTTTAGATGCAAAAAATAAATTATTATTTAAAAAATATTAAAATAGTTAGATATTACATTTAACTTAATAACAATTTTAATTAATATTATTATATTAATATTAAAAGCCTAATGATAATATAATTTTTTTTTTTTAATATAAAAAATAATCTATGAAGTCCTGGGAATGAAACTCTCACAATGTTGTTGAACATAGCCACATTTTTAACTGAATAAATAATTTTTTTATGGTAATATTTCAGTGATAAAACTATATAATTGACCTATATGATATGTTCAAGTAAATGGCATCATAGTGTATTAAATTTGTGTTTAATATACTCTGAGTTACTCATTAGTATATTAAATTTAATATATTATTACATTATCTATTGAGCACCTAATTTTTCTTGTTTTGTTTAAAACCTTAATTAACCATATTTTGACCAAGTCGTCTTTCTTGTTCTGCTCTTTTTCTACTCATAGATAAAGCAGCTGTCTTCAGGAAATCAACAGTCTTGTATGGATAAGCTCCATCAATCATAGAATAGTCATGCATAGAAACAAGAGTAAAATGACCTCCAACATTATTATTTTTCTTTTTGGTAGGTGTTTTGGATGTTGATCTGTTATTAGTTGAATATGATTTATCACTAGATTCAAATTCAAGATCTAAATATTGGATGTCATTAAAGCGACTTGCTTCAGCCAAATAACGCGAATTTGAAGAAATCTTATTCATCTGATATGATGATACCTAAAATCAAATATCATCCATATAAAAAGTACAATTCAATAGTTATTGTTATTTATAATAAAAATTTAGTTACCTTATCTGAAGCTAATCTATCATCAGATGCTGAATGACGCCTATGAATTCTACTAAGTGGTTCAAAATTTGTAGGAACAGCATTGGGCCCCATCCGTGATTTACGACGATTTAAACTTCCAGCAGGAGGTGCACACAATTTAAGAGTACTAGCTGTATCTTATATATAAAAATAATTGCTTAGTACTAACATTAAAATAAATTATAAAAAGAAACTTTTACTGGAAATATAGTGAGTTTACTTACCATAAAACATATCTGTTGTTTTCCTTATTTGAGTAGGTTTCAACCTTCGGTTAACAATAGGTGGATTAGCTAAAGGAGTAAGTGGAGAAAGTTCAGCAGATGTGTCAGAAAATTTTCTTCCAGGTTTCAGCTGTCTATTTATAGCAGGAGGTGTTTGTTCTAAAGAAGCTGAGCTTATATTGGCAATAGCTGAAGGAGAATTGGTTGAACATGGAGAATCAGATTCAGCATTTTTTCCATCTTCATTTTTTTGTCCATTTTCTTCAACAAAGTCATATGTAAAAATATTACCAGTAACTTGACCTGGGGCTGCATTAGAATAACAATGTCTACGATGTGCTCTAGGTTGTGCCTGTGGTGGACTCATTTGATGAGATCTAGGGAAGTCATAAGTCTCATCACCAACAGTAGATTCAAATGATTTTTCAGATTTTATTGAAGTTTCCAATAGATGAGATGGTTTTGGAGGCCTTGGGGGAGCGGCTAGTTGTCCATCCATTCCTATTTTAGTAAATCTTCTATTAGCTGCAATGGGTAGGTCTGGTGAGTTTTGAGATAAACGGGGAAATGTTTGCCAATTAACTGAAGGACGACTAATATTACAACCACTAATTGAATCGTCATCAGTAAAAACTGATTCCGAACCTGGACTTGGAGGTGGTGATTCTGAAAGTCGTGGAGTAGGTCGTAACCGACGAGGCAGATCATAAGATTCTTCAATTGCTCCATTAGGATGAATTGGAAGTAATGGTTTACCAGATATACATTCACTTATAGGTATATAATGACTTGATGATATACTGATAGGTGAATCTGGGGAAGAATGCTCTTCCTCTTGTTCCTCTGTATTTATAGGGAATGGCCTACATATAATATTATTCACAGAACTCTCAAATTCTAATAAAAAAAAAAAAAAATTTTAATGACAAACATAAATGATATACAGATTAGTTAAAAATATATATCTGTTTACCAGAGTTCTCATCAACAGTAAATGGTTTAAGTCCACAAACATGACAGACAAAATCTACCCATTTGTTCATGTCATCTTCTGATTCTGCTGCTAAATAATAAGTTCTTTTTGGTGTTTTTATATCAAACATGTAATGATATTTTGATTTACGGTCTTCAAACCTTAGCCCAGCATCCACCTAAAGAAAAATATTAAAATTAAATTTATTAAAACAAAAATAAAATAAAATATTTTATTTATAGATTTTTATAAAATAATAGACACTTATTAAACATTTTGAGTTTATTCATTTTTAATAAAATTTTATTTAGATAAATGTAACTATCATATTAAAGATATTTTATCTTTAAGTTATTTTTATCATTAAATTGATATTATGTTGATTAAATGAAGAATTAAAAATTTGGTAACAAAAAAATAGGTAAAATAAGGTTTCTTCATTAATCACTAAGCCAATGAAAAATATTAATATTACAACTGATCATTTTGACTTCTGATTTAGAATAATTAAAAATAACTTTTAACAATTATATATAACAATAAAAAATGGTTAATGTAATGATTCATTCTTATAAAATAAATTTAAACATTTTTTTAAATAATTGTAAACATTGATAATAAAACCAAGTAATAAAATTCAACAAAATTAAAATAGTTATTAAAACTTGGAAAGTCAAAGTAATATTAATGATAATGTATATTATATTATAAAATTTAAAGCTTACTTGTTCACACTGATCCAAGTCAATTCTACCTTTCATTTTTCTGCGACTTTTATCTGTGTAATATGCAAGAAAATATTGACCAGGTAATTCACCAGAATGACGAAGTACGAACCATCTTCTTCGCCATTTCTAAATAATTGGATAAAAGTATTTGAAAAATAGTCAATATTATGATACATAAAAAAATACCAAATTAAAGTCATAATTATTAATAATAAACCTACATGAACAATATTTATATTTTAAAATTAAAAACATATCATCATGTAAATTTAAAATCAAAGTTAAAATTAATAATTTGTTACTTAATTGTATTGTATCAACATTTTTTTACAATAAAATAATATTACAAAGTACTAAGATTATCATTTCAGTATTAAACAACAAAAGTAAAAATTTTATTGTTCTATAATGGTCTTACCAATTTGACACTGACTGCTTTTAATACTCTTTTAGAAGGAGGTGACTTAGTAAGCCATCCTTCATGTACGATTTCTAGATTTTCAGAAGACATGGTCAAAGAGACCTATTAATATTAACCACATTCGTTAAGTATAATTGTAATGTGAAAGAGACAAATTCCGAATGAAAAAAAATGAAATATTAATAAAGAAAAATAAGTTCTTGGTTCTTGGAATTAATCAAACCATATCAATGTTAGTTTTGTAAGTATTGGTTGGGTTCAACTACATTAGTGGTGGAATACAGTGTCGACAAGTCAGCTGTCTTGAGATAACAAATGACTGTTGGCTACATTGTATGTGTGGTGAATCACTCAAGAATTGTTGAACGACTAAACGTCGAATTGAGTTTGCTATATCAAACCGCAAAGAAGTATTACCTTTTTGTACTCCATGTAATAAATGTTCTTCATGACAATTTATAAAGAATAGAAGTACATATTACTCTAATTGGAAATTGATTTTAATTTAAATTAATTTTTAGTAGTCTTAAATATTGAAGCTATAAATATTATGTGCATTAAAATATTTCGCATTAATTTTGTTTCTAAATACGTTAAATTATGGCAGTTGTAAATGATCAAATATTTGAATTAGCTGTAGAAATTGAAAAGCGATTTATTCAATTTAAAGAGGTAATCAATAAAATATACTTTTTAATATCTATTTTAAAGGGTTAAAATCTATTAAATGTAGAACCATATTAGATCACTTTTAGTTAATTTTTTTTTATTGTGTATGTTTTATGGAAACAGTTTAAAGACGACCTAACAAAGAGTTCAAACATTTTAAGTTATAGTGATTTCAATATGAAAAAAAAATTTAACAAATTATCTGAAGAAGTAAGCAAATTAAATAAAAAAATACTAGATATGTTTGAAGCACTCAATATGCCAAATCCTGAAATTTTGACTAAAATGAGTGAATACATAAGTATGTATGGAATAAATAAGTATACTATAATAATTTAAACATATTAATGTTCAAGATAATTTATTAATACTTTTTGTTTCCAGAACAATACATTTTTCTTAAGATTCACTTTGATAAATTAAACAAGGTAAGTATTTGCAAATATTTTATGTAAGAATTTGAAAGAAAAGTTTAAATAAATAAATTTTGAACTATATATTGACCCATAAATTAAAAGTGATTTTCATTAATATTATTTGCATTTTGTTATTTTAGCGCAAAAAAATATTAAATGATTATACTTTAAATTCAGGATTAGAGCATGAAGGTAAAACATATATATCCTATAGATTAAATATTAACTTATTGAAATAATTTTAAATTTTAGAGAATGAACTAGAAAATAAGCTAAATGATGTATCAGAATATTTTTATATTAAACTTTCTGAAAGAAATAATGAAATTAACCAAGAAGAGAATAAAATAAAAGAAACTCAAGATTTCTACAAGAAAAAAGTATTAAAATATTTATATTTAAAAAGACAAGTAATAGTGATGTTTGAATTGTTTGATTTTCAAACCAAATTTGAGTGTTCAGTACGGTTTAAAAATCAAATTAAAAATTGAACCGAATATTTTCTTTATAAATCGGTTTGAAAATAGAAATAGTATAATCAAATATGAAGCTAAATTTGTTTTAAACATGAGCTTCATGTTGTAACTAATTATATTATGTATCATTTAAAATAAAAATTGTACATAGCAGGCTTTAGGGTGATAATGAAACAAATAAATTCCTTTTGCTTAAAACCTTTTTACTTCAATGCAAGCTTTATTAATATAAATCAACATTTTCTTCATAAACTTATTATATTTTTTTATCATTAGTTGGTATAACTAAAAATAGTTAACAGAGTTAAAAATTTCAACTAACCAGTTGACAATATTACCAAGTAAAAAGGTATCTAGTACTATTGTATTTAGTACTAAAAAAAAGTTAGCAGTTGATGTTACATAATTTTTTTATCCAATATAATCAAAAAATAATTTTTTTTTTGATTCTATAAATAAATTAAATAGCACATTATTTTGTAAAAATAAATGTAATCCAAAAAATTGATACACAACACTTTTTTATATTTATTATTATTTTTTTGCAGAATAACCTGCCATCTAATTATATTTATAGAATTAAAAAAAAAATGTTACATAGCTACATAGTGTGTTATTCACATCAAAGCCTTCAAATGAACCATTAAAAAAAAAACTGAAAAGCTTAGGTAGTAAGCCAAATAATAATATTTAAATTTTTATATAGTGTAATTTAAATTTGATCATAAATCATTTTAGATTGAAAAAATGGAGAATGACTATAAAAAATTAATTGAAAAATTAAAAAGAGAACAAATATTATTACAAAGGCAAGTGAATGCCTTTTCTCAATTAACAGAAGTTTAATAATTTAGAGTTTAATTATTAGAAATAATATAAACTACTATTTTATTCAAACTATTAATGTACTTTTTATCAAAGCTAAGTATTTTTTATGTCATTAAATTTAAACTATGATAAAATATTTCATAAAAGAATGTAAATCATTAATTAATTTCTCATTTTTAATAAAATTTGAAATCTTTTAATTTACTTGTGATAAGTAATATTCATAAATTTACTTTCTATTTTTATAAATTAAAATAAGCAAAATCATGTTAAAAACATTAACACAATTGAAATGTATAATTTATACAAATATTTGTAGTTGTTTGTGCAATAAATTTTTTTTTTATATAGTACACATTCTTAACACTTGTACTGCGACTTGTATTTTAAAAATAATACATAATATAATTTTAACATATTTCTTGTATCAATATTGTTATTTAGTCATGAAAATAGCTAAGTTAGTTTTATTAATTTAAGAATTTTAAAAATAAAATTATATTTTCGTATTAACTATTTTGAGGGCAAACAACAAAATTAAAAAAAAAAAATTCTTTGTAATCTTCAAATTTATAACTTTTTTTAAACTTAAATTAAAACAAAATGAAAGGTAATTTGATTTTTGGTTTATTGATACTTATGATTAGAGTCCGTATTTATATGAACTTATAAATTTTGTTTGAGACATTTTAAAAAAACTCATGTTATGCAAATTTGCATATATACAATTGTATAGAAATAATTTTCAAGGGTGATAAATCTCCTCTTATACTCTTATCCAACCCTATATTCCTAGTTATATTATAGTACTGAGTTTTCAAGTCTATTTACACATATTTATACTAGCTGATGATGGTGTATTCAGAATAACTTAACAAAATTTATAAATCAGGACCTTACTTATAATGGATTCTGTTCGTTAAAAACATAGAAAATTTTTACATATATGAATAAACCAACCAAAAAATTAAAGCTCATATTATAAGTTTCATATTATAAAGATATTGCTAAATTTATCTAAAATATAGAGAGACTATAAATCGGAAAGGTGAAATGCAAGAGAGTGCCTGATCAACGTAGTTATAACGTAGGTTTTGACAATGTACAGAAATTAAATATCTATAGGTATGTATTAAAACTAGAACAATACAATTTAATTAAGGGATATTCTTTATTGAGTCCTAGTTTGTAATTATGTGACAAATAATAATTTATATCATAATTAAGTCGAAATTAAATGTAGTTTTTAATTACTTTTAAATATATATTTAACAAAAAAATATTCAACCTCCTTGGAATAAGACCACGTGGTATTAACCATACGTCATAAACTAAGAACTATGAACCATATGTTTTATTGTGCATGCTATCTGAAAGGTGTTCATTATCTCTGGGCAATATGAAGTGAACTAAACAATCGAATTTAATAATAAATGATTTTTTATAAATATTAGTTGTTTGGTAAAATTCTATTGTAGCGAAGTTTTAATTCTATTGTAATTAAGAATTTAAAAGTCCTAGAATATTCTAAAGGTAAGTTATTATTTAGTTTTCAATTTCGGTAGTTTTAGTTTAATACACTTCTGTCTACATTAATAATGTCTATTCGTGCATGAAAGTGGTGCGCATATAAATGTTTGGTCGATATTAAGGGTTTGTGTAGGTCTTCTCATTACGATATCTGTAAGTCATAAATCATATTAATGTTAATGGATTAGCTATATTTATTTTCATGATTTTTTAGCATTACTTATATAAAGAACTTTAATTATTCAATTATATTTTTCAATAAGTATGTATTGAATTGTAAAATTTCTTCATAGTTTAGTTATATTTTAATTAATAATATAAGAGATATATTATAAATAACTTTTTTTCAAATTTTTATTTTATTTATAAATCAAATTAATTATTTTATTATTACTTTATTATTTTTACAGTATAATAAGTTGTGAAAATCAAAAATATTACTCTTATGATATTATTAATTATACATTTTATCTGAATAAATCTTCAATTGTATGGGTAATAATAAAACAAATTTGGCATTTTCCTTCAAATACGTTAAAAATTTAATTGACACAAATTTTTAATACCCAAATCAGAGTTGATTTAAGAAGGCTTACTTTATAACTGTTTCTCATTTTATAAATTATGTTACATCATTATTATATTATTTGTCAATAATAAAGTATATTTATTAATAGTTTATCTATTTTCTGCAATTCATTATTAAAAAAATTTTCAATTTTTATCTAATAATATTTTATGAATATTTATGTGTGCTTTTATTATTATACACTCTTAAATTTTTTGCAAAAAAATTAAGATTTTATTGCTTAAGTTCAAGTTCTTTAACTTAAGTAATTTTTTTCATATAAACATATTATGAAATTTTAAAATTGAAAAGTTAAGTAAACTAAGATGTATATGGCCTTTTAAAAAAAAATAGTTTTATTGTATGTGTAACACTTATGTTATATTATCAATGATGAGGCTTAATGCAAATATGTTTTTGTGGGGCCTTTTTATTATTTTTTCTCTTGTGAGACTTATAAGCATAGGGCTCTTGGCAAATGCATTAGTAGTTTTGCCATTCCACCACTCTTCTATACTATTTATTGAATATATGAGATAAATGTCGTCTTTTTTCTTAATTCGCTTTGTAGAAATCTCGTATTATATTGAATATTCTAGTCAGCTCTTATGTTCAATTACATGTTTTTTTAATCATATTTAATTTTTTTAACACATGATTTTAAAAATATATATTTATATGCTGGTAGAAAACTTGAACATTGAATAACAATGTTTAATTCCAAATTCGTTTTAAAATATTTCAAATATAAATCTATTTTAAACTCAATTGGTTTTTTAGTGTTATTATAATAAAACTTGTTAATATTATTTACTTAAACAAAAAAGTTTTGTCTCTTTTCAAGGTTTAAATATATTATTTGCCTATACTATTTGCACAAAATAAATAATTTAGAGCCTTATAAAGAATATTCGCATTGTATGACAAAAGCTACAAAACGTATTCTTTAGGACTAAGGTTACTGTTACTATTTTCGCACAGTTCTAGATGGTCGAATCACGAAGACTACCTACAAGGAAATAATAAATTTATCGTCAGGTAGTGTTTTTAACAATTGAAAACATACTTAATTTAAATGCTTTACAGATGTTGCCCATAAGTAGCAAGTTGAAGGTTATGCTTCCATATTCAAGTAGGAATAATGTTTACAATATTAAAAATTGACTGTCGAAATTAATACTTTGTAACGAAGGGATCATAAAATACACATTTAAACGAAAATATCATAAAATTGAAATATTATTTTTAACAATATTATAGTACTCATTAGAATGCCGTTGGCTCTATTTTATAATTGATATTCCGAGTTATGCTGTCACAACAATATTGTTTTCTGATATGAGTTTCTATAAAAAAAAAAAAAAAAAAGAATACTATTAGTTTTTTCCCGAACTACTAAATTGCAGTTATCATCATACGCATGCATGCATGCAATTCTAAATCTTTAGCAATAATGAGTGTTTATATATAAAAAAAACATAATTTCCTATTTCCGCCCATCATAATTTATTAGTTTCTACATTTATTTTGGGGGTCGACATTGTCGTTCGCTTTTTGTTGTATGTTCATAGGGCACCCACTACTGCACTTCTTCAGCGCTTCTATAAATCAAACATCATAGTTTTCCGTCGTGTCTTTTTATATCCCGTTTTTTGGACAGACTTTTTGACGCGCTATTATTGTGTTATAATAACTAGTTGATGTTCGTTCTCGTCTGATGCTAGCGGCGTTTTAACTGCTTCGTCATATGACATAGTGTCATAGACAAAAGCGTTTTGGCATTCAATGCGTTATCGTGTTTGTGCGGTGGATCCAATATGATCATAGTCAATTATGTTTTTCCCCGAAATCACGTGTTTCGTCGTTGCGATACGACAATGAGTTGAATTATTTGGAAATTCATTGATGGGGAGAATATTGTGCTGCCGACCGAGTTTAACATCCCATAATTTATCAATAATTAATATCGTTATGCTAAGTATGGTTACGTTTGAGGCTCGTTCAAGGTGTTGTGCAAACCGCTGTCGTAGCGCGGTTGAGTGAATTTTTCTATATGTATGCTACGTCCATGTAGGTGGTTGTCCTTAGACGGTGGGTTATTGTTCTTTCGTGTATTTTCCCTCTCCCTTATTTATTTTTTGAATTTTATATGGACAGCTGAGAGTGTACGGGTTTAGTGACAAACCGATACGGCCGTCGCCCGAGAGGGTCGCTAAAATTGTCCGGACGATGTTACACCAGTGAAATTTATTACTCCGTCGTCGTTGTAGCAACATTTACGTGTGTTGATGTGCGGTAATTAATGTAGTGTAAGTAATAATGTTGTTGTTAGTCTTTAGTTCAGACGTCGTTCTTGCGGTTGAAGTTATGTCCGTACAAGGTGATTATGGTGAAAGCGATTGGGGCTTCAATTATAATAATTAGTGTCCTCGGCGTACAGATGAAAGTAGGCAATCGATATTTTTATTGAATGGAAAAATTTCTCGGCAGGGAAACTCTTGAAAGTGTTTTTTATTCGTAATTCTGGTTGGCCATTTCAAAATACTGTTCAGCAAAAAATATTGTCTCTGAACATTTTGTACAAAACGGAACCGTAAGAGGATATTGCACAATTTCAACATCGTTAGCTCATGTTGAATTATGTAGAGACGTGGTCGAGTTTACCCGTCACCTGTACTGTTTAGGTGGGTAACGATGTACTGCAATAGAATCTGTGATTCATCCGTGTTACATGGGAAAGCGACCGCAAGGTCGTTGTCCAACATCGACACCTACTAGATTTCTGTTTATATGTGTGTGTGTGTGTGTTGTAAATGTAAAACTTGTCGTCTGGAAAATTCCCGTCAAACCGCGGGATCTCCCGAAAAGAATGCCTTGCACATAATTTTCGTTGTCTACACGAANTGTAAATGTAATACTTGTCGTCTGGAAAATTCCCGTCAAACCGCGGGATCTCCCGAAAAGAATGCCTTGCACATAATTTTCGTTGTCTACACGAATACCTCGCCCGTTGTCGCGTGTGCGTGTCCACAAAACACAACGACTCCATTTAACAATCCTACTGAGAATTCTGTGTCTTTATTGTTGTGTTAGTCGACAGCTGGCACTGCCGGGCACGTGTGTGTACTGTTGAGTGATTGTAGTTAGAAAATAATGGAGGTGACAAAATGTGCCAGTTGACCCAAAAAATAAAACAAACACAAGTTATAGAATAGGATATTTTGAAAATTTTATATTGTTGCTTTTTAAAACTTGGCTAATATCTTGTGAATTTAATTGCACCAAATTTTTTTATCAATGTGAATGGAAATCAAGGCAAAGTAAATATCAATTTTATCTTGTTTTAATTTTGAAATATAACTCCGAGTACTAATTATTTAGTTGTTTTGCTTGGTATCGACTAAACTTTACTATAGTGTTGTTTATCTGTACACCTGAAAACATATTATTTCAATACACATTTTTAGTTGTACAAGACGTTACATTATTTTCACATAAAATGAGTTTCTGAGTAAACTTGTTGGATTTCCTATTATAATCATATAATTGTATTAGTTCATGTTTTGTTCTTACTTTTACCTCATTATTATGAACAAGCGTCATAATGTCTATATGTTAAGAAACATATGCAATAGTTACCATTTCAAAAAAAATTACTTATATTTATTTTGTTTTTAATATTTTATCGTGTTTATATTAAGCTTTACCTAAAACGTATTTCAATCCTGTTCACTGCGTATTTAATATTATTTTTAAGTAATATTTTTGACGTAATTTGTTATTACGTTTTTTTTACGAAATAATACAAAAGGTTTTTCACAAAGCGTATTACAATACACATTATTTTATATAACAGTCAATTGATGTACCGTTATTTGATACACATAATTGAAGTATACCATTCGTGTTCAGTTTTTATGAATTGACATTTCTCTAAAATTGTATGAATTCTCAACATAATAAATAAACTTCAATATTTTTTGACAAGACGTGAAAAAATTGAATGTGTACACTACTTGGTAATTTTTTGTTTGTTTTTATATTAATCCATTTATAAACATAAAAGTGTAGTTTTAAACATCTATGCACGAGTCACTTTAAGCCTCATGAAAACTTCAGTAAACTTATTTTTATTTATAAAAATAAAACAACGAGTATGATTTAAAAATATATCCTTAATGTAATAGAGAATTAAAAATTTAATTTTATATGTATTTCTACCAAATATAATTATATTATATTGTAATGTAACCGTATTGTCGAAGTAATGTGTGTGCTCCTTTTTTAAATTTTATATTTTGATATTGACTTCTATTATTATTTTATATCAATCAAACATGATTTAAAATCTGTTGTGTCTCATCTGACCTTACGTTACTTATTTTTAAATTAATAATTAAACTGAGGGACGAATTTAGTTAAATTTAACGTATGGACTATGTACTTGGTACGTTTGCTGTTAAAATTACATTTATATTCGATTTGTAATGTTATTGTTTACTACACATATGTCCGGTAGAAAATTTTGTTTAATAAATATATATAAATATACTAGGAGAGTGTTTAAATTTATTTAAATGAGACTAAGGTACTGCGACTACAAGTAACAACACTCTCCTATATGATAATTCCTAACGTAGCAAATATTAATTTTAAATATTTTCTTAAAATATCGCTTCATTAATTTACCGTTACCTGAAACTTAAGAACTTTTTTTATTAAATATGTTCATCAAAACAAAATCTCAGTAATCCAGTCCTTGAATTTTTATCTATTCAAAATATTATCATAAGTGATCACCATATCCGCAAGTTCCATTAGTCATCTTATAATAATTTTCATGACTAATAAAGTTTTTATTTATATATTTATTTTTTAAATATTCTAAATTTCTATTAATTTTTTGTTTATTAAATTAACTTATTAGAATGAAAATAAATATTGTCTTATATTGTCCGTTATATATTTAGTTTTTGCTTAGTATACTTTAATACGAATTATAGATTAAAATTATTCTTTAAAGCTATTTTAGCTGAATAACTTGGCCTGTTAATTAAGAATATCTAACTAAAATTTTTCATAATTATAATAACGTTTAACATTCGTATCGTTATAATTTATCATAATATATTGAAAATATTTTGATAATATTATAAATAAATTATCATGTTGGTAAAAATATATATTTTTTAAGAATGAAGATTCTATCTTGGTATTATTACTGTTTAATCATTTTTTTTTTTTTTTTTTTAATTTGTTTAATTTATTTTATTTTAAAGTTTATACTAATGTATTATAATTTAAATAGGGTAAGTTTATGTAATACGGTTTCTAGTCGGTACATTTTCGTTTTATTGAATCAGTTGGCAACTTTTTTTTAATTTTTATTCTATAAATATAGCTTAGCGACCAGGAAAAGGAAAGGTCTCTATAAATAGTCAGGCGATATTAAATTCTTATCACCAAGGTCGATTTTGTTGTTTTTTAATATTGTCTATTTATAATAAATATCAAAGTGTCTTAAAGACTTAGAATTTGTAAAAAATGTATTTGCTAACTTTAAAAGATTATAATTATTCCACTAATTGTATAGTTAAAGTAGAAATGTTAAATTTTAATTAATTAAAATTTTTTTTTAGAGTCCGGTTAACGACATAAATCCAGAAAATACTTTCTAGTATGTCTGGCGATTACTATGCTGTTTTGGGAGTTACCCAAAACGCCACTATAAATGATATTAAAAAAGCGTATGTATATTATATTTTGTCTATTGTTATAAGATTTGTTATAATTTAAATTAATACATTCTTATTTTTAATTGTAGTTATAGAAAATTGGCATTAAAATGGCATCCAGACAAGAATCCAGATAATCAGGAACAAGCTAATAGAATGTTCAAAACTATATCTGAAGCCTATGAAGTCTTATCTGATGGTAAAATATTTAGTTTTTAAAAATTTTACTATTACAAAAAAACTATTTCCTGTCAAATTCTAGAATTGTAATTCTAAAAAATATATTTAGAAATCATGACTTAAAACTATGACAAATACAGCTAATTACTTTTCATATGATAATATTAAAAAGAATATTTAGTCATATGTACTTAAGAAGAAACTAAAACGTGTACACTTATGAATAATTTAAATAGGCTGTATCTATATATTGTCTATTTGTCTAACAGAGGCAAAGAGAAAGTTGTACGATGACCAGCGTAAAAGAAAAACGTCCGCTACATCCAGACCATTCTTCTACAACTTCTTTGAAAGTCCATTTCATCGATATTTTGGTAGAACCCCTAATTTAAAAATAATGTTGTTTAATTATTAACTACATCATCAGTGCCGCAAGTAGAGATATTGGGTATCCTGACTCTTATTTAGTATTTCATATTTTTCAAGCATAATTTGTTCAGCAGTTTGTAGGTGCTTCAATGTCTAATAGATGCACTATACTATATCTTAATTACTGGAAATACAGTAATTGCGGCACTGACTATCATTCAATAACCTTAACTAGAGTTTCATTGAACTAAAACTCCCAAAACATATTTTTATACTAAAGCATGTTTGATTAATGAAAAGTGGTGCTTCCATAAAACTAATAATCATATTAATTTTTTATTTTATACTAACAGTTGTCATAGAACTTTCTGAATTATGTTAAACAGTTATATTTATTTTTCAGACAAAAAACGTAAAGTTTATAATCAATATGGTAAAGATGGTTTAATTAATGGTGGAGCAGGAAATGGTGGTCGCCGAAGAGGCTCCCGACACACTAGTCATTATGATCCATTTGGTCAAGACTTTGGACCCGGATTTTTCAATTTTACATTTAGAGATCCTGAGGATGTTTTTAGAGAATTTTTCAATACCTCAGATATCACAGACTTACTGTTTCCAGGTATTTTATTTATTTTATGTTATTTTAATTATTATAACCTTAACAAATCAATTTAGGCCAAAGATTTAATGGGCATCATGAAATGTCGACAATGATGAATCCATTTGGATTTGGTGGTTTTGGTGGTGGATTTGGTTCCGGTTTTGATGACATGTTTTCCATGGCAAACTCTGGTTTTGCTAGTAACGGTGGTAATGATGGTATTGTTAAAAGAACATCAATATCCACTAGATTTGCTAATGGAAAAAAGATAACTACTAAAAAGTATGTACTGACATTTTATCATTTTATTAGTTCATATGCAATATAACTGAAAAATGTATTCTTTTATTTCTAATTATCTATTTTTAATGTGCTATAGAATTTCTGAAGGTGGTAAAGAAATTGTGGAAACATATGAGAACGATATGCTCAAGTCAAAAACTATCAATGGTATTGCACAAGCCATTGCATATAACCACTAGTTCGATCTCCTATCTGCTTCTTCTATACTGCAAATAATAAGTTTATGATAATAAAAATTCATTTTTGTATGAAATTATAAATTAAACTTTTGTAAAATAATTATTATATCATATTTTTTTTATTTGTGAAAAAATAGTAAATATTGCTAGGGTTTTCTTTTTTTTAATAGTTGTGACATTTTAATTAAGGAAATTAATTCTTTTATCTAAAGCACTTAATCAACAACAGTTTCCACTGATTAATAAGACTTACACTATTTTTATGCGCTTTCATAATTTTATTTAAATAAATAATGAATAAGTATTTTAACTTAATTACTATTTGGTATTCCATGTTTAAAACTAAATATATAAATACCATATTTTATTTATTATAATAATAATTGATATTAATTGTTGTAAAAAGAAAACTTGATCTTTGCTCTGTATAATGATAATTTCTTTTAGAGTAATAATAGAGGGTTCCATCATCTTATTGTGTTTTCTACGTATTATGTTGAATGAGAATTCATTTCGTATTATGGTGTATCACCAACATTGTACTTATATTATTAATGAGATATTAATATAAATAAATATTTAATGTTCAAAATATCAAGTATTAATTTATTGATATAAAATTAATTTGAAAAACAGTGTTTTTACTGACGAATACTTAAATTATGACAGTCCATTATGTGTTGTACTTTTGTTTAAGCATTATAAATTAACCATGACTCCCAGTTTCTTTTTATAGTGTAAAATAATCGTTAGTGAATGTTTGTATTTTTAATGTAAATTGGAGATTGTCGAGTTTTAAAACACTTTAACAGGTTATTGTTATAGTTTTTAAAATGATAATGCTAACCGTAACAGAGAGACAAAGTTTCTGTGATAAAATACGACTGCGTGTGTGTAACTAGTTAGACCATAGGGACGTGATAAACGTGGCAACGTTGTACACCCTGCAGAAGAATAATCAATGCGTCCCGCCGGGCAGCGCTGACGGGACGCCCCCTACATTTCTGTTGTGATGAGCGACATTGGGAGTGGATTTCTCTAGATGTAAAGTGCAGCGTCTCTCTTGCTCCCGTAAAATCCCAAAAAACGTGATATTACTGAAGCGCACGAGGTTGCTGACAGACTGTGAACTTTCAGCGTTACGGTTTATCGTGCTGACGACAAATATACGCCGCGTCGTTGGTCGCCTACGTTATGGCAACGTGCGTGCGAACGAACCTTCGGGTGCGCCGGTGCGCGCGCTATCATCGCCGATCGCCGCGGGCGGATTTAGTCTATTTCGAGCGTCACCGCGGTCAGAGCTTACGCACATAGTCCAGGCCCCCGCGAGCGCCTTTTTATTCAATACCCGCCGCTTTTTTTACCGGCGGCCATCTCTGTTGGAGTACGCCCGTGACATGTAACCGGCACTCCGAGGGTGCGGCGTCCTGCAGAAACCAAACGGGCGGTGGTCTGAGGTTCACCACCGTAGCGCAGTCCAAATGGGCAACTATTGCTCTTCCAAGCCAAAGGACAGAAACGGTTCCGACGAGTAAGTTTTACAATAAACGAACGTTCATATTAAGGGGGAAACACGTAGGTAATCCCCGCCAGGTACGTTTTAATAAATAGTATCTACTGGCTGCTAACCCTGGGTACGTTTCCAAAATGTGCGCGGGGGAGGTGGCGGCGGTGGCGACGTTGTTTGGACAGCTGCTACCGCCGTCCTTTCCACTGCCACCGCTCCGTCCGCTTTAGACGACGGATGATGCATAATATGTTTTGTTGATCATCGATGGCCCAAAACCAAAATACGCGACGCTTCTATTTAACCGGACGTGACAGAAAGTGAATGTCAACGGGTCCGACATAACACATTTTTGTCACGAATCCACTGTATTCGGCATTTGCTAACACGCTTGCCAGTACTGATAATAGAATCGTCACCGTCGAAAATAATGTTTGTTTCGGTGGCCTATCCTATTTGTGATACAGAGTAGGATACTTAAAAATCCCCACACGACAATAGTTCTGGCAATTGTTTTGCTTTGAGAATGGGACATACAAAACTATTGTGTGTGTTACTTCGAGCTCTTAAAATCGTTTGTAGTTCACTATTAAGGTAAATAAAATATTATGATTTGGTCGTTACATACTTTGTCNGCCATAAGGTAAATAAAATATTATGATTTGGTCGTTACATACTTTGTCTTGTTACAATTTCCCTTTTTAATGTATTTACAACAAACAGAAAAGTTAAACGACTTCAGTGACGTGCGCAGGATTTCGTTATAAACAAGGCTAACCTTGTTTTCTTGCAAAGTCCAGCCCATATATTTTATTCNAACGACTTCAGTGACGTGCGCAGGATTTCGTTATAAACAAGGCTAACCTTGTTTTCTTGCAAAGTCCAGCCCATATATTTTATTCAATATGTACTTGGTATATATAAAATCTATGTAAATCAAACGTTCAAAATTACACTATCGAGAAATTATTATTTTTGTAATAAAAATTTAACGGGCCAAAGCTCTGTTACAATGTCGAATTATGACATCTCTGTAGTTTTGTATTGATGTCATGAAACGTATAAATACGTTTTTAATTATAAATAATATAAGTCACAAGTGATCATTTCTTTTTATGCGTATCAAATACATAGCACGCGTTAATCAGTCAATTCTTCAATTAATTTGACAAATGTTCTATAATGATGATTGTTTTTAATAGTTTATGCTTCTATTTCGATTCAAAACAAAAATAACACGAGACATAAATTAATTTATCATCCAAACTAACGTGATCTTAAACAAACACACTTGCCAAATCCGAAACTATACGAAATTATTTATAATGTACTTGGCTTCAATTCGTTTGAAAATATTTTTTTTGTCCCTTATCTCCGGGAAACTCTCCAAGATTAATTATTTACGCGTTTTTCTAAAATAAGCACTATGAGAAAAATTGAAATATTTTCATAATTTATTTAATGGTACAGTTAATGAAAACCATATAATTTTTTTCACCTTATAAATATCCTAAGGAGCTATGTTACAAGTACAAAAAATAAACGCTTAGTTTATTCATTTTAGGTACTTGCAAAAAGCTCATTATAAAAAAAACCAGAAAAAAGCGGACAAATCTACTAATGTAATATCAGTTGACAAACGAAAGTCCAACGATCCTTTGCAGACTGTAATCACTAACAATAATGCTGAATCTAATCCTAATGTGGAAGAATCCAGCAATAACACAAAATCTGAAACGACCGTTCAGCAGCCCACTATATCGGTGGAAAATACCATGACAGGTATGTGTTAACAGGTACATAATTTAGCATAGTTTAATCATTACAGGTATTTGTTTTATTTAGTGCAAGAAAAGCAACGTACATATACTCTGCCAGATGAATTAAAATGCGTTACTACAGACATAAAGAAACTTCTTCTGGGTATCCCTGAACCGGATTTGAGCCATAAATCAAACAAGATAGTCGTCTATATAAACTTTCCAAGTAAAAATGGTAAAAAAAATAGTTTGTATACCATAGAAAACTTTAAAACTAGTTTATGTAGTGTAGTTTAAAATACTACACTGGTTGTAGTATTTGTTTTATCACTGCATTTTGCTTGTTTACAATCAATTTGGTACAATTTAATAGGATTTGATGACGAGAGGAGCGTTTTGCATGAAAAAATATTTCCTTGTCTGCGATCCAAGTGTACTGGACTTGGATATGAACTGCACGTGGTCGATTTTAACGTAGATGAAGAAGTTGAAAGGGCGTGTCAAAATATTCATATGAAAGAACTTAGACGAGGATCTGAAATAAGTTTCGTAGTGTCAGTAATATACATAGACGACACTCTTGGTTTACCAGTTTTACCTCAGACCGTAGCATTAACTGATTACGAACTTGTCAAGTCTAGATCAGATGCTTCAAGGCTTTTAGAAAAATGGTATTCATTAGATGAAAAAACAAATTCAATGACATTAAAGAACGAATCATCATTAGAAAATGATAACAGAGTAAATATCAGAAAATTTAATCATACATCATACAATTTGAAGAAATAAAAATAATTCTAATATTTTTGTTTTAGGATCAAAGCAAAAATAGTGATGAAAAATTCCAACTTCAAATGGCTATGTTAAAATCATTTGATTCGAAGTTGCGTTCAATATACTTCGGACGAGTTATAGAAAATGTTTGTTTAAAAATATGTTTACATTTTTTGTACCTATGTAAAATTTATTTTATTATTTTATAGGAACTTTACAACGAAGTCGTTTTAAAATCAGAGTTGGCTAAAAAGTCAATTTGGGTTATAAAAAATCATGATCTTAACCAAAAAAGCAAAAATACTGCCCTAGAATTGAAAAAAAGACTGGAGCAACTTAATAAACAATTAAAGGTAAATAGCGTCTTTAAATATTTACATATTTTGTATTATTATTTTATTGTTTGCTGGTCTCAAATAACTTGAAAAATAGGTCCAATGTTAGTGAAATGGAATTGAAAATAAATTGTATTTTTTAGAATGAACTGCCGGAATCAAATATCATTCTCTGTGAAGATAGTAAAAACGATGAATTTATTAAAAAAATTAGTTGTACACTTTTATCGATTATCGATTCCATCGAAAAAGAACACGTAATATAATATATTTTTTAATATAATTCAACTACTCATAATATTTAATTTAATTTTTTTTTCTAAGGATAAATTTGAATCTTCATATGGCGTGGACCCTTCTTTGTTAGAAGAGTTAAGAAATCATAATTCATTCAGCTCTTTCATGAGTAAAAATATTGTTAATCCCGATGACTTAATTGAAGTTTTCAAAAAGTATGGTTCAAAAGACTATATATTTAATTTAATTAATTTTCACACGTGTATGTTTAAGATATGTGACTGCTGACGCGGAAGTACTACAACCCCTTATTGTATATGGTCCACCAGGAAGTGGAAAAACAACCTTACTATCAATTCTAGTTCAGTATTGTCATCACTGGAATCAAAATGCAGCAGTCCTAATGAGATTTGCTAATATATCTTATGGCAGTTCAACGCTTGAGCACATTCTAAATTCAATTGTTATGCAATTAAATCATTTAGATACTGGAAAATCGACGTGGTTCACCCATGTAGGTGTTGTAAAATATTATGTTAGTTTATTAAACCTATTTATTTATTGATACATTTACTATTTCTTAAGGACATTGAGTCATATTCAAAACAAATCAAAACTCTATTAAATTCAATTAGTGCAATACGACCAATAATACTGGTTATTGATGGGATTGATCAAGTAATGCAGATAAAATAAATGTAGCAAAACTAGGATCTAATTCACTTTTGTTTAGTTTAACAATAACTCCGCGGACTGGATACCAACACAGTTGCCAAAGAATACTAGAATAATTGTATCTGTTAACGAGTCTTCAAAGCATATAGATAAATTACGTCAGAACGTTTCAACTGAGTCATTCGTACAGGTAAATAAAATAATTTTACGAAAAGAATGATTTTTATTAATCTTTTTGAATGGGTTTGTGATTAGGTTCCATATTTGACAGAACAACAAATTGCCTCAATGATATCATGCATACAGTTAAATAATAATTTAAAAAATCATAATCAAATAAAAAATTGTGATCTCAAAAATGTAACACCTTTAAAACTCAAATCTTGTCTGAAATCTCAAAATTCAATAGAACCAAATGAAGATTGGGTATATGCTACTTTCGATAGCGTTGAATCAACCCTAGGAAAAGAAAGGGTAAATCATATTTTGTTATTACCTTAATATAAAGGCAATTCATTACATGAGTATCATACAAACTTATAGAAACTTAATTAAATATTTTACAAAGGTATCTATTGCAATTGGTTTTTTGTGTGCAACTCAATATGGGTTACTTGACACTGAAGCTATCCAGTTATTAGAAGATAAATTTAACAACGACAATAACTGTAAGAATAATAAGTCTTTTCGAATAAATCTATTTCGTATAATGTAATTTTTGAAAATTTATTGGCATAATTTTAATTTTTAAGGGTGTTATTTATAAAGTTATTGTTCAATTAATTTTAAGGTAAATCATTATCGGTGGTACTATTCTGGTCATTACTCAACGAGTTACTTTCAATTTTCCTTTTTTGGTTCAAAACTGATCGATATACTACTGTTCGATGGAGTAACAATTTAATTGCTGAAATAGCTGCTCGTCGATACAACTCATACATAAAATTAGCAAGACCCAAACTGTTAGCATATTTTGAAAGTGTAAGCCATTAATTAAGCAATTTGTTTGTTAACTTTTAAATTAATTTTTAATTATTTAGAACCAGTCGGAATCTCCTTCTACTTGGTGCAATAAAAATCTTTCAAAACGGAGAAAACTGGATGAGTGCGTTCATTTGATGGACGGATCTATTAGTGACTATATAAATAATTTAGATTGGATATTAGACAAGTTAAACAATGGATTAATTCTACAAGTACATAAAATTCATTCTATCTAGGTAATTTTCATTAATTTGTGGTTATTTTTTAGTTATTGGACGAGTTATCACGTCATACAGATGATCCTCAAACTAGTTTTCTTAAACAATTTTTAACAGCTAAAGCACCATCCATGATGCACAATGGATATCAATTATATTCACAGATGTCTTTGTATTCACCAACGGAGAAATATTATAGTGTAAAAATGGATACACCTCCGTTTCCGACTCTGATGCCTCTTGTACCCAAATTAGATAATTCAAACAAAATGACGTTTAACGTTGTCAAACGGCTTAATGAGAATCATAATTATGCAATAACTGTGAGTACAGAACAGCAAGAAATAGGCGTTTGGGATGTTGAAACGTAAGTACTATAAACAAATTACACTATTGAGTTATGTTAAAATATGTTTCATAAAATGTTATTTTCAAATTAATGATATCGAAATTATTGAACGTCACTAGCCATTGAGGTTTGTACATATTCAATAGATATTGTCTATGATGTTATAAGTAGGGAACTATCAAACATAAATTCTCATAAAATTAAATGTTTTAATTTTATTGATCTATAAAACTTAAAATATTATTTTATATGAGTTCTAACCAGTGATAAAAATGTATATGAAGACATTGATTATTTATATAATATATCACATATTTTGAATGATATTAAAACGTAAGAAAATAATTATAATTTTTGTTTAGATGTACAAAAGTAAGATCCTTGAAGGGTGTACCACATCCAACGGCAATAAAATTAATTGACAATCAGAGGTGTATAGTGTTATGTGAACGCAAGCTGACTGTGATCAATTTAGAGACTGGCAAAGTAATAAGCAAACTCAAAGGTAAATACTCAGATTTAGCATAGGTGTTACTTAAAAATATTCTTTTTGAGGTCTATAATCCTATACTATGTTAATAAATTTGGATAACAGACTTAACGGGAAGCTTCTGTACGTGAAAATTCTATTCATTTGTAGTGGCTACAAATGTTTCAAATATTCCATGCAAATTACGCTAATGAAATTAAGATTTAATTTTATAATTAACAATTTGTATTTTGTAGGGGTAATGAATCAAAACATGCCTTATTTTGATTTGCACAGTCCCACTAAGTTAGTAGCTCTGGCTAGGAGTAGAATGCATGTGAATCTCATTGATATCGAAACAGGAACAATTGAAGCCTACTTTAAAGCTGGTGAAGACAGATTTTTAAATTCATTATTGGTCTCAGGAAATGGAAGGTATTGATTAATAAATTTATTAATTTCGATAATTTTAATTGCGTAACGATATTATTTTAGGATAATGGTATGTGGCGACGAGACTCAAAAACCATTCCCATTACTTGTGTGGAATTTAACATCTCGACAATTGATGTACGATTTGAGGATACCTTTCCACGAATTTATCACTCGCCTATCAGCAATTACACACGAGGGACACTACGTTTGTTGTGTAGCTCAAGTAAAAAATTAACAATTTAACCTCTAATACTTGATAACCAAATAATTATATTTTGTTTTAATCAAATTTTTAGGAGGTCGACGAACCTGGTCCAAACTTTATAGTTGTCTATGATCTTCAATCGGGCACTTTGTTCAAAAAATGGAAGCCCGGCGTTAACTGTGTATCTCTAGATATATCATCCAAAGATGGTTGTGTGCTAAGCGGCCATGAGAACGGCCGCATATGTATATGGGACTTGACGACAGGCAATTGTAGATGGACTCTAGGAGCACATATTGCACCAGTGACTAGTCTCAGACTTGACCCTAGCGGAGGTTCATTTATTTCGTTGGATACACATACAAGAGATCGAACAATAAAACTATGGAGTGTTAATACTGGTATAATCATTAAATATTGTAAAATTTCACGTTTAAAATTAGAAACGCACAAAAAAAATTAAAGAGGAGGACATCATAAAATATCCTTGAGGATGCAAATACCATTTTACTTTGTTAAGGTTGACATTTCTTAATTTTGTGAAAATATGCGAAAGTTCAAAGTTTTACTTAATTAAAAAAATGATAATTAATATACACATATTTATAGTGTTCTCGTGTTTTAAATAGTCCTATTACTATAATCAGATATTCTAATTTAATAAAGTAATGCAGAAATAGTGTTTTGATATAAGTAAAATTATGTTATAGCTGGTTTACTTTCGTACTATAGTTAAATCTATGAATTTTAATAAAATAATAGTTTGCTATCAATTTCCAATTTAAGGTCAACAAGTTTGAAAATGAATATAACAACTAAAGTACAAGATTAATCAATGTTCACTATTTCTATAGTTCAAATTAGAATTTTTATCACGATGCAGATCAAAATATTGACATAATAGAAACTTAATTAATATTGAAATTGTAACTATTTTTAAATCAATAATATAAGCTTGATATTTAAATTTAAGGTGAACTGATATCTGAATATACACCAACTAATCCAATAACTGCATTTGATATATTACCTGGAGGACAATTTATTGTTGTTGCTACATCAAATTCATCATATCCTACAGTTCTACAACTAAGAGGGCCATCAATCATTAATCCTGAACCACAAAAAAACATTTACAATGACGAGACACTTGAAGTTGATTTGTCACTTGATTTTCGCGAAGATGGTAGATGACAGCCAAATATTAAATATATATTTGGCGACTTTCTTAAAAATTTGTACAGTGTTGGCATTATTGTTTTAAATCACAATGTGTATTCATTTTTACTATTTCCCAATTGTTAAAAACATTGCTTTTTTCCCTTTTGCTGTTTATATAAAGTACTAATAAGTTTCTTAAGAAGACTTTTAGTATTATGACTTAACAACCATCTTGTAAACATCTAGTACTTCTATTTTTTTATTTCCTAAGACTGATTCCTAATTGTAAGAATGAAACTTGAGCACAATATTGTTATTATTAGAATTTTTTCTTTATATCTATGTGCTACACACTTTTTAATACTCTTGAACTAATTAAATCAAAACAGTGTAATTATACAAATGATGTCTTTTATTTTATAGAATTGTACTGGTAGAATTCTAAAGTAATAATAAGGGTTAATCCCTCAAAGTAAAATAATAAATAATATAAAGTAACAAGAAAAAACAATCATTGATAATAAAACTTTAGTAAACCCAAATGGGAAAATGCCACCCAGTTTTAAACAACAATAAAATGTGTAACTATATAACAAACAAAATAAACACCTTAGAGATAAAAATGGTAGGTTTTAAAAGAATAGCGCTATTTTAGGTAACATTTCCCAAAAATAAATAAAAAATTTAATAGCTATGACTCTTTAAAATTGGCTTAATGGCTATATCATCCAGATATAAAGTTGGGTACCCAATAATTGACAAAAAAGTGTTCTTAAAAAAAGCAAAATATATAAATACTTAATTATGAACTCATTTCTTCTTCTATTAGCTCATTTTTATTTGGTATAACTTTAATATGTTGATCACCAGAATCAAAACGAATAATTTCTTTTTTATCTTCAGTCTCCATTGCTCCTAATTATAAACATATTAACTGCAATTAACATACAAAACAACACAATTCTGGTTGAAATAGACAATTGCACAAATAAATAATACTTTTAATTCAGATTTGCATTTACTGCTGAATAATTTTTAAAAAAGTATACATTTATTAATGACATTTTATCGAATGGACATTATAATAATTTAGAAAATTGTAAATAATTGTTCAAAAACTTACTGTCATCATCTACATCGACCTCTAGTTTTTCATTAATAATATTACACATTTCATTTGTATCTTCATTCATTAAATTATCATCAGATTCAATATTTGAAGCCCTGTATAAAATTTAATAATTATTGTATTTAAATAATTTAAAACATTTTTAAATTTTATAAAACTTACAAATTCTGAAGATCATTAACATCAATCATAGGGCCACCTCCATAAATTCTCCATAAGTAATCCCACTGACTTTCACTGACAGATACATAATCATATCCTTATTATAAATGAATTTTATGAACTAATTTTATTAACAAAAACTATTAGCGATTTAATTCTTACCAGAAACTTTTTTATTAGAATTGCTTAATAATTTAGAGTTGTCTATAGGACCAGGTGGTTCATTAACATTACCATTTAAGAAAGCCTCCCAACGCTTAATCCAACACATTGAAATAGCATTATCAACAAATAAATCCTAAAATTTTTTTTTTAAATTAACATTAATTTAATAAATTAAATTAAAATTGTTATAATACATGAGAATTAGATTCATCTCCCAGTCGAGCAAAATGTTTAGCTTCTATTTCTGCTCTTTTTCTTAACAATATATCAATATATTCTCCATAACAAATATCACATCTTTGTAGTTGATTATTAGTACACTTGGGACCACCACCAAATCTAAAAAATTAGTACAAATACAAAAAATGAATATTATATTAATTTTAAATCTGATTATTACTTGTTCTGTAAATAATCCCAAATCTGGCCTGATATCATTGAAGTATAATGATTAATTTGTGTCTCATATTTTGGCTTTATTTTATTATGATGACACATAAAATCATAATTATCAATTGGCCCTGGTTCTGCAAATGAATTGAATTTTGAGAGCCATCTAGTAGAAATAAAGCAAGCTTCTTGGGAGCAACTTGGCTTATTCATTTGTACTTGTCTCATTTGTGTTCTGATTCTGTTAGTTGTTGGACTATTTTTCCTAAAAATTATTTTTTTTTTAGAATATTTCTATCAGTTATAAGTTATTGTACTTACTTGTAAAAGAGAACATACGCTTCAGAATTACGAACAATTTCTGCAGATACCAATGTAACACACTGGTCATCAAATTCATACCACTGTTCATTTATAGGGTTTAAAGAGTAACATGTATAATGCCCACCACTACCTATTGTTCCATGATGACATATAACTGAGACTAATTTATAAGTTGTAACTTGAGATGTACAATCTAAAAATTTGTTGAGAATTTATTAGTTCTGAAAATATTAAAAATGAAATATTCAGAAACTTACCTTTGTGAACATAAGGTTTTAAATCTAATCCATCAATGGGAAATGTTACATAAGAAGTTATTTTAGAAGAAAACATTAATTCATGACGAAAACGTTTCAAATGGATGCACAAAACTTCTGGTAATTCAAGAAGTTTAGAAAATTTTATACCATTGCGCAGTTTTTTACATTTTTCACAGCTAAAATAAAATAAAAATTAATTTACAACATTTTAAACTAATTGTATATAAAAAAAAAAAATTCCAACGCTAACCTGTACATATTATCTCCTTTAAGTTCATCGGCACTAAAAAATGCAGCAAGGCAGTCATGAAGGCCAACAGTAGGACCCCAAAACCATCTATACATTACATCCCAAAACCAAAAAATCCAGTTCTAAAATTTCATTTAAAAATACATTTTTAAGTAATAATAAAATTTTATTATCATATTTATATCACAAATAAGATATATAGCAATTTTTTTTACCAATTAACCACCTACTTTCTTATTAATATTTAAAGTTTACTGATAAATAATTCATATATTAACCTGAAAAACTTGTTGGTTAGTATAAACATCAGCTAATTTGTGAACAGCACATATATTAGTGGATGAACTTTGATGTAATACTGTGATATGATCTCGAGTTGGAATTGGTAGTGATAAATCTTGGAAAGCCTCTACTCTTGAAGAAACCTGAATTACAAAATAAAATTAATAAATAAAAATAACAATAAATATTTTTGTAAAATATGTATAAATATTGATATTAAGTATATTAGGGATAACAAATGAAATCAAAATAGATTAAACTAAAACTTACTCGATTGCAAGTTAAACATTGAACAGAACTCAAAAGTTTTCCATCAAATATTTCAGAAATAATGCTTTTATATTTTATTTGAATTTTTCGATTTTTTTGAATTAGGTTTGTTTTGTTTCCATTATTCATTTTGGTAAGTAAATGTTGTTGTAATTGATTAGTCAAATTTAAACGTTCAGGCATTTCTTCTGATAATGAACTACGTTCACTCACACCAGAATCACATGTCTCATATTCATCTACACCCTCAGAACTACTGTCAGCATTTGTCAATGATTTGAGTTCATCATTATCAGAACAATCATCTTGATCATTCTCTGGTATCATCAAATGGTTCTGTTCAATACTTTGTTTTCTCGAAGAGGCTAAAGAAAAAAAATGGATCATAAAAACTTTCATAAAATTAAAACAAATATTATAATAACAATATTAGTCAGTCTACCTTTGTATGAATGACGTCTGGATGGAACTACTTCCAACTCTTTTTCTTTAAGTTCTTCATGTAATTGATCCATAAAACATCTCAAAAATTCTTGAGTATCATGTTGATGGAAACCTCTGAACATTGGGTATACCTAAAAAAGAAGTAATAAGAATATTACATTTTTTTTTATTATAATAATAGTTTACATAAATAAAAACAAGAAAAATAATATGAGATTTTTTAAATTAAATTATAGATACTAGTTATTATTANGTCATGTTGATGGAAACCTCTGAACATTGGGTATACCTAAAAAAGAAGTAATAAGAATATTACATTTTTTTTTTTATAATAATAGTTTACATAAATAAAAACAAGAAAAATAATATGAGATTTTTTAAATTAAATTATAGATACTAGTTATTATTAAATACATACATTTCGCATTGTGTATAAAATTGCAGTTGGTGTCACATAGCCTGGTCTTTTAGTATGCCACATTTCTTGTATAAGACGATGATATGCTCTAGAAAGATTTAATGGATTTTCTGATTGTTGACACGAATTTTCAGAAAAACAGGTAAGAAAATACTCAGTCAATGGAGGAGTATTAGACAGTGCTTGAAGAGCTGCATTCATATAGCAGGTATTACCTATATTCTGAAGACCAGTTAATCCTGAAATGATGAAAATAACAATAATAAAACAAAAAATTCAAAATAGAATAAAAATACCTGTGGGTTTGTGATCTTTTGTCAATCTATACTCATCATCTGAATCTTCTTCAGAAGATTCACCACTATTGTTAGCAACTATGTTATTACGACAAAATTCAATAGAACAATTTGATCCTCTTCGTACACCATTTAATGTTCTTGGATTTTTCTCTATATTATATTCTTTGTCACATACATAACAGCAAAGTCGCATGGATGGCAGACTAAGGTGTAAGCAATGACTTTTGTTTTCCTGAATCCCAATAAAAAATTTAACAAAATTTCCATTTAAACAATAAATTAGTCTGTTAATTAAATACCGTAAAATGATAATAACTATGATCACAACCTCCATCATAGCAGAATGCTTGTTCACAGTTAGGACTTATACAAAACCATACTTCTGGTTTTTTAGAATGACAAGAGCAGCAAGTTAAAATACCAGCATTCTAAAATATTTAGTTCAATAGATGATATTGAGTAATATAATAAATGATACAGTTATAGTAAAAATTTTGCTTTTGATACATACATGTTCTAAAAAATCAATACTTTTTTCTATAGCAGTTAAATGACGAATAGTAAAATGAGGACAATCTTCCATATTTTTTTTATAATCAGAAAATCTAAATGATTCAATACAAAATTGATTTATGACAACTAATAAAAAAAAAAATATTATGTTATTAAAGTTTATCAAATCTATATGTAATAATTTTTAAGTACATTGTTTGACTTAAGACATAGCTGGAACAAATATAATCGCTCAATATTTTTAGTACATAAATTTAAAGATGAAGTGAGCCAATAATAAATAATAACTACAAATAAGTAACAAGCAAAAATTCCTCCTTAGAAAATAGTCATAACATTGAGCAGTAACCAGTTAATGTACAATGAAAAAGTTAACAATAAAACAACTTATTGAATTTATCAGACAATTACTAACCAAATACTCAACTATAAAAAAAAAAATTTTTATTATTAAAAAAGTAAATCACGATATTATTTATTCGAAAAAATTTATAAATTGAATTTAATTACTTTTTTTATTTTTATCAGTCATACTATAGTAAGTTATAAAAAAAATTAAGTTTTTTTTAAATGACTATATTACACGTAGAAAATATTTCAATCGAAAATTTAAAAAAAAATTAAGAAGTTTGTGTACATCAGTAAGGTAAATGACATATCAAAAAATGTCGTGATAGTGAAAAGGGTGCGCTTCAGCAGCGATTACAACACATATTTTTACCAGTTCACCTTGACAGTACTGACGTGTATGTAACGAAAAATTATCACAGGATGGGAATTTCAAAGTGATAGGTAAGCTATTATAAAATTAATTGCTGAGAAAATGAAAGTACATCTACTACAAGATAGCGTGTCACGGTAGTAACCACGGCTAATCCTAATTTGGAATTGGAAGGTCTAACATTATTAACAATCAAATTCGTTTTTTCTTAAATTATTATAATTTTTAAATGGAAAATAATTTTTATTTTTCGAAAAGAATTGTAATCTATTATGACGTTAAAGTTCCACATTTAGTCATTTTTCTTTTCACACGCAGCTTAGATTTTGAATAAAATTTAAATATAATTTTCCGAAAAAATTTAACTTAAAAAGTAATATAATATTCATAAAGCTGTAAAAAATATTTTTTGTATGAAAAAAGGAGTCTGGTATTTCATTTTATAACTTAAAATAATACAAATTCTTATAATTTTTCAAGAAACACGCACAATGTTATAAAGACTGAATAGAACTTTCTGTTGTTGGTTATACTTGTAATATTTGTAAAATCATTTATAAAAATTACCTTTTACAGAGAATCCTACTTCCATAATTAAAGTAAGGTGCACTTTTTAAGGGCATTCTCAAGGAGAAGATAAAGCATGGGGGTCTCTCCATAAAGAAAAACAATTACAAATTGTTATATCATTATGCGTAACAACTAGTATTTAACATTTGGCCCACAACTTCTTATTATCATTAGAAAAATCTTTCAACTACAAAATATATTCACTAACCTCATGGCAGGACAATAAAATGTTGTGAATAACATTATAATTATAACATTTAAAACTAAAAATTTTGTAAAAATGTAATAAAAAGAATAAAGTTGGTGATATCAATAAACATAATACAACTTATAACGTAAAACAATTCTTTAAAACAAAAGTAAATCTGTTTACAAAAAAATATTCATTTGACTATATTAAAAGCTGTTTATAGTAGTGAATTATGTTTCGAACTCTTTCAACGTTAAATTTAAAAATGCAATAACATCAAAACGTAAAACAATATGAAAAACATTGAACATAAAAATTACATGATGATTAAGATTGAATATTGAATAACATTAAATTCAGTTATAAGATAATATTATAATATATTTAAACGTCAAACGAAAAATATTCTTTTAATCTGACCCTGCCCCTCTTGGAACAATAATCGAAAAAATTAATTATGGTTTTTTTTATACACTAATAACAAATAATAGCATTAAATTGAAACTTTGTAGTATTAAGTATAAATATTTAAAATATATTTTCTATTTAATTTTTATAATTGAGAGACATTTTTTTCATAATTTGATTATAAATATATCGTCTATCGACTTTTATGTATAGTAATAATATATTTATAAATTAATAATTTTAGCTTCGTTACAAAGCTGAGAAGGTAGTGACCATGATTTTTTGCCTCTTTTTATATCTAATCATGAAAATTCTCAGTTCTTATTACACCGATTTTTATGATTAATTCGTTAAAAGTACCTGATTTTTATCTAGATGAACGTATTGTGGCCAAAAATTGAAAAAAAAAACTTACTTAATTTTAGAAATTTAGAAAAATATCTTAAAATTACAATACCGTAATAATGGCATTTTCCTAAATTTTCCCTGTACTTACAAACTAATATAACATTTTATTTTAAATATTGATTGTAATGAAATTTCAATAGAATATAAAAGTCAATAAGTTTTATTTTGGTATGCTTCGTAAAAATTTAATGAAAACCCTAGGTACAGGAAGGGTTTAAAAGACCATCCTACGCAGGTATAAAAATTTTAGATTACTCTGTGATAGAAAAAAGAGACACGTCTCCACAATATTTTTTAGATTTTATGTTTACGTAATGAAATAAGTATATCCATGTATTTCTTTGGGAGATGACTGGTAATAATGTAATTTAGTGAATATTTGTAAGATTTTTAAATATTATTAGGCGTTAACCTTCTTTAATATGACGAATACAGTACAATGTAATATTCAGCGTCACAAAATAATGATTTCCTTCTTTAAAATCGGTGCTGCTGCCGAATGAAAATATTAGTCTAACATCTCTTAGTATAAAAAAATATACTTCATTGGTGTATGCATTTCTATGATGCGTAGTAGATTTCGTGCTCGCACACACGTTCTACAATAAATTCACAGACACGCTAGGTCGCAGCAGCAGTAATATATATTTTACAAGGGTTATAGGTATGATGGTAACTTAAATTTATCACTATTCTAAAATGGCTGACGAACTTTATCTATATAAATATTAATTTACCAATACAGGAGATCATATTATATTTTGATGCGGACAAGTTGAGCGCACCTATAGTTTTTAATGTTATCATGTGACGTACGGACGCACTTCGCAGTAGATTATAAATATTATGTTTACTAATATTATTCTGCTGAGTACGTAGTGTTACCGGCTGCGTAAAACTATTGATGCAACGTAATCTACTACATAGCTATTCCGTCCAGTAAAGTTCTGCGTACACGTGTAAACTTTTTTTTAATTTTCTGTTATATCATACTATATTAAAATGGAAAACGAAACTGAACTTAAAGGTGGACATCCTCAAGCAGGTAAATATGTTTTATAACTGATTTTACCAAATAAGTTACATGTTAAATTTTCAGTGAAAGCTGGTGGTATGCGCATTGTTCAACACAAAAGTAATTCTGATAAAGAATCCAAGAGTTCTGCTTCTGATGTGGCCAATTCAGTCCTTAAGGTTTCTACAAGGTAAATAAAATAATAAAGTCTTCTCATGATGTGAAGTTTCCAACTTATTTCAATAATTTATATTTACAGCCCTCCTAAACAAAATGTAGTACCAGTACATAATCACAATGATTATCCTACTCAAGCTGTTCAAAAGACTCATAACAAACCATTACCAAGTCACGATCCTAGACAACATCATGCTCCAAAACCAACTATTCATCAACCATCTAAGCAATAGATAAAAAATATTTGATTGATTCTTTTGATACTGCACAAACGATAAAAAAAAAAACAAGTTATTGGTTAACTATAACTATAACCTTTTATTAAATTTCATTATTTTATTATCATAAAATATGTTCAAATAGTTTTTGTTCTTTTATTTGATTAGTTTTATTTTGTTGTTTATAGATGATACTTTCATTAATTTATCACTTTAAAAGTTTTCTTAGGTATACATTTATTTTTATAATGTATTATTAAAATAGTATATTCTTACAGTCAGAAGCATCATTTTATTGTGCATTCAATAAGTTAATTATTTTTATGTATTAAAATAACTATTTTGTATCCATTTTAACATTTAAAGTATATGTATACACATAACATTCCAAATATATATATTTATGCTAATTACCATAAAAATATTATTCAATACTACAATTATACAATATATAGTAGATAATATATTTTGATTATCTCAATCGTATATTATTTTCAATTTAATAAAAGAATTTATTTCATATAATATTAAATAAAGAAAGAAAAAAATATGAGATTGCACCAACTATAATTAATTTTTGTTGATACAGCAATTTATAAACTACTCAACTATTTGAAGGAAGTTGATAAGAAATATTTATATGATAATTATTTCAATTTCTTGGTAAAATTAATAAAATATTTTGCTAATATAACAATACTTTCTAGATAATAAGTATGTATTTAAAAAAATTACAATTCCTAACATATCTTACTTTTTAAAAATAGTTATATTTGGATGATAGAAGAACTGTAGAGTAATAAGATTGTTACCTCCTGCATACACTTTTACAACAAAATTCAGATTTAATTATCTTATGTAATATTACTGATAAAATAGATGCTAGTACATTTTTTTTTAGAAAAATGAAGAATTTTTATACAAAAATCATTCTTTTTTCTTTTACTTTAATGTTCGTTTTCACCATGAAGATAAGTCGTGGAGATAAAATTTTTTTTGAACTTATAGTACATAATGTAGCTTTATTTTAAAATATATTTGAATCTCGTGTATTTCTGTAACATTTTCAAAATATAAGTTGAAAAAGTAAAGTTTTTTTTAAAGTTGATATTTAGAATCTCTTTTTGTAGGCGTAGATAAAAGGACAATTTTCAAAAAATTTATTTCAAATGAAAGAGAAATACATAAGGTATTTATAATGAAAAATATATATTTTGATTTGTTCATTTTTTGAAAACTTATAGCAGTTTTAAGGAAATTTAATAATTCATTTGAAACCAGTCGACGTGAATCAAGGATCACATTATTTAAATGATAATACGTTCAAGTACTAGTTAGTATGTATATATACACTTCACATTGATATTTAGTCACAGTGATATTTAGATAATATACCTTTAAAAGAAATATTATTTTATAGTATATGATTAACACCAATTTTTAAGTACAACCNATGTCACAGTGATATTTAGATAATATACCTTTAAAAGAAATATTATTTTATAGTATATGATTAACACCAATTTTTAAGTACAACCTTATTACCGTTAAAGTTTTATGTCTCCCCCAAAATTAATGTATATTTATTTTTAAATCGTACATCCTAAACATTTTATTTTATCTTCATTTATATTCTGTATTTAGTTTTAGCACCTCGACAGGTAATTGCTTCCATTTCTTGTAGAGCTTTTATAAACAAATAAAATATAGGGATATTGTACTTATTATTGGAATTTTTTGTTCTATCCTTTCGATGCATTATCAGTGGAAACATGACCGTATCAAGTGGCACTATTAACATTCCACATATTTGGTAAAATCATCGGTGACTTCTGTTTAAAAAATGATCACATAAGTCATATCAAACTTTGTTTAAAGATTACCAAATACCATAATATAAATAAAATAAAGGTGAGGTAGTTAAAGAGATGGCGAGTATACGATTAAAATACTCGGGTGCCAAATGTCTTATTGTACTATAAAAAACATTAAATAGTGCCGAAGGAACATTTAAACTACAGTTAATTTTACTTATCATTATCATCGATAATATTTGTCAATACAGTGTTTACAGCATCGACGTAGATAAAGAATACTATTGTATTGTACTCGATGGTTTACAGTAATATTAGCACTGACGTGTTCTTCTTTAGTATCATGGATATTATCAACATTTTTATCGTAGGCCAACGACAATGATCTATAATATGATAATAAACTTGTAGGAAATATTAACCAGTAAACCAGAAAAAATTAAAATTCAATATTTAGTATTTTTCCTGAAATTCCAAGAATTAGATTGTTATATGCAATTATTATTCTTTGAAATTTAATTTTAAGGTAAGCTATTGTTTTGGTTTTACTGACAATTTGAGAATTAAAAAAATCAATATTTTATGTGATACAATTTTATTAAAATATGTTTTTATACAAAACTTCATAAAATTTTTTAATTAATATATTTTATTGTCAATAAAAGGTAAATAATTATAGTTTTTTTTTTGTTTGGTTTGTTTTTTATTGAAGTTTTATAAATGTGTTATTTTTGTTAGGAAAATATAGTATCTATCATGCTATTTTTTTAGATTAACTTGTACTGATTAATATCCTACTTGAATTTTATGACTATTATCTTAAAATTTTCTTATGTAATTTTCTCGTATTAATTATTTCTAGTGTTTTAAAAACAAGGGTATTTTTAAAAATTTACAGACAAATATTAGCATTGAACCTTGTTTTATATTATATAAAATAATAATGATGTCTTGAACAATTGTAAATCTACTCTTGTTTTGCAAACACTTCTTTTATTATGTTTGAAATTTAAATATATTTAAATAATGCTAATTTTGTACAAAAGACATATTTGAAATCTATATTAGTTTATAATAGTTATTCATTTTATTTCAGATGACTGATATTTCAGCTTGGTATAAATCTCTACCATTTTTCACAAAATGGTGGCTTACATTGACTGCAGCTTTTACATTGGCAGGGCGTTTTGGAATAATTTCACCTTATCATTTTGTCCTTATATACGAACCATTTATAAAAAAATTTCAAGTAAGCAACTAATTAATTCACTGTAAAATTTTTTTAATTAATGGAAACAGGGATAATGTCTGCAGATTAATCCAATGTTATTGGATTAATCTGCAGACATATCAACTTTATAAAAGAGAATTAGATGTTAATAGAGGGATGGTGTGTTCAAATTGGTTATATGGTAGTACTTAAAGTATAATGTTACATGTTTGAGAATCAGCCATAGGTAGTTGATTGTAAACATATTTGTTGAGTGAAATATCAATTATGTAACTAAAGTCACCACCCTTTTCTGTAGCGATGGTTCAACCACTCAATTTATAGTATTGAAGGTTAAGAATCCTACTCTCATTAGAAAAGCACATCGTTTTCATAAAGCAAAAAAAAATTGATGTTTTAGGTTATTTGTGTTTATTAAAGTTCAATTATATTGGATGTTTTGTCCAAAATATAGAAAAACATTTGAATTCTTAACAGAATTAAAAACATATTTTTATTTTTACATAGCTGAAAATTTTTTATATTTGTCAAAAACATATTAAAATATGACCTTACCATATGTGAGGTTCTATTTTAACTCAAATATATTTTTTAACCTTATCAAATTATTTTTAGATTTGGAGGCCTATAACAGCGTTGTTAATGTATCCATTATCACCTGGAAATGGATTCCACTTCTTAGTTAATTGTTATTTTTTGTACAGTTATTCATTGAGATTAGAAACAGGTAAAATATAAGATATATGAAAAGTGAATATTATTCATAAGATAATCTATTTTCAGTATTTATAAATGATATATAAAAAAATGTCTTAATCTTATATTGCAGATTCCTTCGAAGGAAGACCAGCTGATTACTGTTTTATGCTATTGTTCAACTGGCTTTGTTGTGTTATTATAGGTCTATTAGCTGAAATAATGGTAATTTATTATTATTATGTATACAAAGTTAATTTTCTTTTTAAATTATAATTTTATTATAGGTATTAATGGATCCTATGGTTTTAAGTGTGCTTTATGTGTGGTGTCAATTAAATAAAGATGTTATAGTAAGCTTTTGGTTTGGTACTCGATTTAAAGCTATGTATTTGCCTTGGGTATTATTTGGATTTAACTTTGTTATATCTGGAGGGTAAGTTAATTTACTTAAAAACGAAATGGTATTTTGAATATATATTTTTCTTTAGTGGATTACAAGAGTTAGTTGGCATTATTGTTGGCCACATATATTTTTTCCTCATGTTTAAGTACCCACAAGAAATGGGCGGACCTCAACTAATTCAAACACCTCAGATATTGTAAGTTTTTATTTACTATTATAATATGCTTTGTTGCAAGTTTTATAAAGGAAGATTATATAATATAGATTAGAAATGAACATTGAAAATTTTGATGCAATGAAAATCCTAAAAGAGTCTTTGTAGTAATATTTTCTTTTATTATTGAAGGTAGATAGTAACTGTTAGCTATAAAAACCTATGAGTTATGTTATTTTTAATTTATTTATTTTTAAATTAAAAGGATTTTCTTCTAATATTTCTTTTATTCTCATATATTTGCTTGAATGTTGATGTGTATCATTAAAATGTATTACTAGCTTAGTATTATTATTATAATATATAAATATATATAATACATAAAAAGAAAAAAGTCATAATAATTTTATTATCAGGTACAAGTTTTTCCCAAATCAAAGAACAATTCATACTTTTGGTCAACCACCCACAAGAACAGCACCAGTAAATCAACCTCGTCCACAAGGTGAAGATCGAGGACCTTATCAGCGTCACAACTGGGGTAGAGGCAATGTTTTAGGAGGGCAATAAAGTTAAACAAGTCTGAACTAACATAATTTTGTCTTAAAAATTTCTTTTGTCTATTATAATTTGTATAAAAAGAAATGTGATGTTTTTTATTTTCAAATTTTGTTTATAAACCATAAACTTATTGAATCATTAGAAATTACTTTAATGAGTCAAAACTGTAGTTTTGGAACACAGGTATTATTTATATTATTTGTTATAGTTAATGATTTCTCATTCTAGAATAATTATTGACAAATTAAGTTATATGTAATAAGGGTTGCTGAACAAGCTAAATCTATTGAATTTTTATAATAAATTACAGTGATCTTAATTAAACGTTTAAACAAACTATTCTTATGTTTTATACTTTCTATGTATATTTAATAAATAAGCAAATTTTTATTTTTAATTGGAATGTATATGTCTACTATTACATAAGCTATAATTTCATAGTCATTTTCAACATTACATTTTAATGAGACAGTGAATAAACAACACATTTTTTTAATTTACATATAAAAGTTTAAATAAAACAAAATAATTTTTGTAAAACTAAGTATGTAAAGTAGTTGGAGTAGATTGAGTACTACTTTTTTTTCTTATGTATAGTTTATTAATTATTGTATTTATTACTAGAGTATACAATTTTAAATTAAATTATTTAAATCTAGTTCAAGTAACATATCCCTGATGCAATAACACAATTAACAATGTTAAGGATTTAGAATCCCTTAACTATTAAAATTAATTTTATTCTTAAATTTTTAATAACAAATAATATATATTTTGAAATTGTGGCAAAAAAAAAAATTTTGTATGAAAAATAACAAGAACTTATTTATTGTTCTACTTATAACTATTTAATAATTAGTATTTTAAGATCGTGAAATGTAAAAATAGTATGATTAAATACTCTAGCCAATTTTTGGAATGTAAATTCAAGTTAGACTACTTCCTAAATTATTTTTAAAGTCACTTTTCCTAGGATGAAAACTTCGAAAGAGCACAAATTCTTTGCAAATTTTAAAAGAATCATTTTAACTAGTCACAAAAGATATTCAGTCTTCAAATCTCATTTTATAATTTATAAAATTTATTAATTGTTAATTGAGATTTTAGATTCATGTATATGTTGCATGTATAAGATCTTATTTTATTTGCATGTTTTGAGAGAATTCTGACTAAATAATAATTAAAATTGACACCTAAGGCCTACGGATATGACTCTGGTACTACTCGCAGACTCGCCTATGATGAATTTTGTTAGTCACTTAAATTCATTATTATTTCATTGATTATTTAAATGTTTAAGACTTAACAAGACAATATTATTTTTGAAAATTTCATAAGTCATACCACCTTTGTAAAAAATATGCTATTCGAGTATATTACTATATTACTTCAACATTTTCTTCGTGTAAAATTTTATAAATCATTTTTTTATAATAAAGATGATATAAATGTTAAGAATGTAGCAGATCATCTCATATGGAATTATCGCTCATTCAGGTGGTAATGCTCAATGCAGTATGGCCACAGGATAGCGGCGTAGATAACGTCTTCCAAAGATTACAACACTCGCCAGTTATTGAGTGGTCACGTTACGGTATGCTGTCTGTATTTATTTACCGTCAGTAACAATTTTTAATCTGTGAAAGCTGACGGCATGTGACAATTATTTTTAATTCTATATCTGATAAGTATTGTTTACTTTTGCAATTACATACGCGTAACACTTAAAATACTCTGTATTTTTAAATTATTTTCTTAAGTTATATTGCTGATCAAGTGGATATATAATTAAAATGTAAGTATACTTAATATTTTTAAATTTATTATGTTACGTTTTGTAATTTTAAAAAAAACGTAAGTTTATGTGTATGAATAAATTAGTTCACCGTTAAAATTATATTATTACACAAGTCGAGGTGTTTTATGTATTTATGTTTTATATTCTAAGCAGCTATTATTTTTCCATTACGTATTACAATCATAGTTTAAAATGTATTAAAATCCAGAGCCCAAGCAGTTAATCTATTATAATTTTAAGTGCTATAATCTTTTAATTCCAATTTTTCATTGAATTGTTTATTGTAAATAATTCATTAATTAACCTTGGTAAATACAATTCTTTATCATTTTTCATCAACTGTCATTTTGTATTTATTTAGATTATTCATTAATATTGTAGATAGCGCTGTTCGCTATTTTTTCTCATTTTGAAATTCACATTAAAAAACTAGTTTCCCGCCAACGTTTTTTACAAAAATATTTGAGATAAAATAATTTTATCTAATATTTTAATAAATTAATTAGTACTTATTTTATTTGATATTCATATATTACACACTAGTAGTATTAATTATTAACTTTACTGTAGTTGAATGAATCCTTTCAGAACTTCTATCAAGTAACTAAAATATTATGACAGATCTTTAATAAAATAATAAATACTTTAATTAAGTAACTACATCTCTATTAAATATATTAGTTTACCCATATAAAACTGTATTTGAGATATGATAGCTTTATATAAAAATTCTTTATCTTTTTTTTGATACTTTGAATAAATATCCTCTTATATTTCAATTTCAATAAGATTATTCTGCTTGTTTAAGGTAGTTTTTATTCATATTGTATAACATTTATTTTTTATTTTTAGTTAAAAATGCCACGTACAAAGAGAAGAACAGTCAAACGAACATCATCTGATGTAAATATGACTGTTAACATGACAGTTGGGAATCAGCCAAAAAATGTCAAAGAACTTTTAGATGAGTTTGATTTTGAAAGTTAGTAAATAATTATTTTACATTGAAATGTATTATTATTAAAACAAATTTATTTATTGTTTAATTGTCTTGAAAAACAAAAGTTTACTTTTAGTTTTAGTTATTATTGAGGTGGACATAATGTCCATGCACTCAGACCTGTTGGTTCATTGTGTGCACCTCATACAGAATTGTATTGATTCGGTTTACCCACCCAAGTGTTATCACCGAAGTGTTATTGCATTATACCTATCATTGTACAAGGGTAGACCATCAAGTCACACCTATGGATGACCAAAGAGTTCTGTCTTTTTGGCGAAATTAAGTATCTTTCTGGGTCTTAGGTTTTTAATATCTTCTTTTTTAGGAAAAGGTTTACTTAAGTAATTTGATCTTAGTTTGGACAAGGCTGCACATTCACACATAATGTGAAATGAGTCTTCCCTTCTACTCCACACTTCCTGCACAATGGTGATTCCGTTACCCACATTGTGTAAAGATGTTTAAGCAAGTGATCATGTCCTGTCAGTAGACCAGTCAAAGTGCTTATTTGGTGTCTAGTCATGCTATTAAGATCACCCAGCAGTAGAACGGGGTCCTGTTAAATATTTTAGATTGTCTAGGTACTACCAAGTACTTCCAGATTTTCCTGTGTTGTTCTCTGCACCAGTTCTTGGTTAGCGCTTTGAGCGATTGCTCAGTGAGTCCTACCACTGATTCTGGTCCAACATAGGTGTTGTCTGCTCCTTTCCTGGCTAGAAAGTCAGCATTTTCATTTCTAGTGACACCATTGTGTTCTGGTACCCACGCTTGTGTAACTTTGTTGAACCTCAATAGTGATTCTAAAGTTTCAAAGCCGCTTGACTGTCACTTAAGATAGTTATCTTTCTATTGTTGTATACCAGCAGGTTTTGAGCCCCTACCATTATCTCCATCACCTCTGCTTGGAAAACAGAGAGTGTTGAGCCCAATGACATACTGACATTTATTCGTGCCTTTAAACTCCAAATGCCAGTACCTACCTTTCCTGATATTTTGGATCCATCTGTATACATTACAAATTCTCCTTTTTCAGTCAGGTGGTTAATATTCTATTCTCTACGTGTAGCGATTTCCACTTTATACTGTACTGTGATGCAGGTATATTAAAGTGAATTGAATTCTATTGTCCGAGGGTCTAAGTTTTAGACCCTCGATTTTGTCAGCTACTGCTCCCTGTTGATCTTGTGACTCCTGGTCTGCATTTATTGACGTTACTGTCTCTTTGCTAGTAAATGGTTCACCAAGTGTCCCGTTGTTTGCATTGCAGCTTTTAAATTCGACAATTCTTCTGCAAAGATCCGCCAGTTCACACTTTTGTTCCGACAGGTTGTCCGTAGGATCCAAGTTCGTTATTTTGTGGTACTTTTATGTTTTTATCCATATAGTTCCCACGAGTAGTCGAAAAATTAAGGTCTATCACAGCAGAGCTCGATACTGTGATAAAACTATATATTCTATTGTGCGTCAGGTGCCATAGAGGATCCCAATGGTCACATTACCTTTTGGCTAAATACCCTGTGACAAGATAGCAACTCTTTCATTTGGTATGGCTGGATTAGGGGGGCCTATTCGCTGATAGCAAGCAGGTATGCCTAGGCCTACCAGTACCAACTAACCAAAGTCATGACCAGCTAAGAGCAGTGGTACATGTTGCCACCCCCGAATTAACTAGGGTCCATGGATTGTTAAGCTCGTGATCCTTTTGGATCCTTATACAGGAAAAACAAAAGTTTAATTAATTAGTGTTAATTTCAAAATACTTTTTTCAGAAAAGAATATTGAAGATAGTTTCTATAATGCCTATGACAATTGTAGAAACCAAATAGAAAGTTCATTTCTATTATTACAAATGAATTTAAGTGGCAAGTTGGAATTAAAACTACATGATTATGTAAGACTTGCTATAAAGTATATTTGTATATTAAGAATTTCACAATGACAATATTAATTTACAGCTTGCTGAATGTAATAATGTAGAATCTTCTAAAAACATTTTAAAAGGATCTGAACGTTCTACTAGACCAACTACCAAATCTGCTGCTTCCAATGGAACTTCTAAGACTAAAAATGGTAATTTTCGATAGCTATTTTATTAATGAGTTTCAATTGATAAATTACTATACTTATAGTTAAATTTTTTAGTATATAGTTTTAAATAATAATTAATTTATTTTATTTTACATTAATAATTTTGAATTATTTATGTAATATTTTTAAGCATCTGCCTCAAGATTAAAACAAACGGCAGTAAATGGAACAGTAACCAAAACACGTACAACTCGTGGTGAAGAAAGGCCACCTCTATCTGAAAAAAATAATGAATCAAGATACAAAGTAATAGAAATGATCCTTTAAATATTTAATAAAATATTAACCAATTAATTTAGTATAAATATTAAAAATAAAAATGTTGTAAATATTTTGTTCCAAGATAGTAGTATTTTATGAGTTTTATATCAAAGGTCTACTTTTAATACGTAAAATATAAGTGCCCTTGGTTACTTCAGTTGCAAAATTAAAAATTATTTTTGAATTGAGTTTTATATTTAAAAATCATTTCAAAAAATTATTTAAATTTTATAAAAAGTCACCTGTATTAACTTAAATAAAATTTACTTACTTAAATACATAACAAATTTGTATTTAAATGATTTTAAAAGTTTCTGTTTCTATATTTAGCATATTTGTGCAGAACACTTTCCTAAATATCCTAGAAATACTTTTTTATGTTCTTATATGATCATAAAAAATTATTATTAAATAAATCTATAAATACTCGACAATTTTGAGGAATGTACATTTATTTTAAATACCAACATTTTAATGTAAAAATTAATTTTTATAGTATAAGTTTTGGTGTTTTCGTAATTCATAATATATTAAGTTATATTTTGCAAAAAAAAAGAATTTTATAATGCAAAATGTAAATGTTTAGAATTTTTGGGCATCAACTTTTGAGCTGAGTAATATATTTTAATAAATTAAATATAAAATAATTTTTTAATTTTATCAAATGATACAAAATAGAATTCTTAGATGTATTTTATGAATAATTTTTCAAATATCCATGTATAATTTTTAATTTTCTGTTGTTTTTAAATTTACTTTTATTGTTTTAAAGTGATATAATCTTCTATCATGTTTTCATTGTTTTTATTATTTAATAGATTCTGATGTTTTTTTTAATTTTTAAAATCATTTTTTATGTTACCATAAGACGCCAGTAAATCGGCCGCCAATACCAACTTCAGCAACTGTTACTCCTAAAGTAAACATGAACGAACCAATATCAGTGATGCGTCGTCCAAATCAAGGTGAAGTAGCTCTTTCCATGACGGGAAGCCCTCTAATGGTGTCATCAGTATCTAGAGATGACATGGCAACTGTCAGTGTGCCCTTGGCCAATGGGAATGTATGTTTTTTTATACACTTTATTAAATAAGAATTATTTATAATCATAATTTTTATTTAGGTATTATCCATTCTTCCAAGAACTGGTGCTGCTTGTATGGACATATCATTTGATGAACAGACTAAAAAAGAATTACTGCTACTGAAAGGCAACATTGAAGGATTATTAAAAATAAAAGGGGGTTTGTAAAATATTTTCAAATAAAAACATTTTAAATGTTTGATTTTTTTTTTTTAGATGTAAATGAGTTATGTTGTAATATACATAATATAATATTTTATTATGAATTTTACCTCTTGTATTTACTTATTTGGTATATAATTTTATAAGGAAATTTCAATTTGGTTTCATTTTAATTACTAATGTTTGTTGTGGAAAGTCATTTTAATATCAATATTGTGTAGTATTAATATAATAAAAATTATTTAGCACTGAAAGGAAAATTAATAATGGAAAATATTGTCATTAAGTTTTGTATGTGATTTACATATCTGTATTTACTATAAATATATTATTTAATTTTAAATATTGTTCATGGTTAATGATACTGTAAAAATGATTTATACTTTTAAAGATAAAATATTTTATGAGTTAACATAACTACAAAAGTTTTATATATATATAAATTTTTTTATTAGTTTAGTGTAAGTAATACATGAATTTCATGTATTGCCAAATAAGTATTTGAAAAAAAATTATATAATTATTAATTTTATTGAGTTGTATGGATTTTCATATGATATAAACAACTGTCTTAGGTAATTATTTGTTCTTTTTAATAATCTATTTACTTAAAGTAATGCTTCCTTTAGAAATTCTATGTACAATTCAAGTATAATAAACATAAATTAGAAAATAAATAAATTTATGTAAAGTGTGTTTAACTATTTATTATGACTATAGTGTAAATCTTCTTATTTAATTTTTGTTATGATTATTACTTTAATTGGTAATATACTGAAAGTTACCCACGAGATAATCTATCGAAAAACATAAGAAGAGGGAGTCGCCAAAATTTACCCACAAATCTAAGATTTCTCCATGATTTTGAACTCTTATTGAAAAGAATCGAAATACTTTTGCTGGTAAACAATTTCTGATGTTTGTCAGATCTGAAAACGAAGATTGTAGTTTTTGCAACTCACCGTAACTTGCAGATGTAAAATAAAAACTAACAAGAAGTACGGCTTTTAGTACGGTTTAACGTTGTAACAACTTTCATCCTAGTTTTCTAGTTTTAGGAACTCTTGAGTGACGAAGTAATGTTGATAATCAAGAAGTTGTTCCAATATTTTTTGTGTATATTCTTCAGTCCTCCAGAGGACAGAAGAATATACTCGTTACAGTGTACAGCTGTGATGTGATAAAGAGCAGCCGATGATCGTCTTGTTGTAGAACAAAATACCAATAATCTAAGTGAAGACTGGCATAAATGTTCCACCCTATTTGCAGTGAAAGAGCATTCAAATGTATACACTGCATTAACGGAATTTAAAAAAAGAGTAGAAATCATGACTGCTGAATTGAGCGGTGGAAGAAGGATGAAAGGGGCTCTTCAACAAAAATGGATAGACGTCCAAATAAGGTTGTGTAGAATCGTAGATACGTTGTAATATGATGTCGATGACATGTAACTTGACATTTTAAGATAGCATTTAAAATTTTTTGATTAAATATGCTTTAATATGATATGATGGTTAATATGATTTGAAATAATTTTGGCGGTCCAACATTCTAGAATGTTCGACCGCCCAACGAGAAGTTACCTATAAGGCTGAAGCGGCTTTGCCCAGTCAGTTTTTATTAGTTGAGTTTCCATTCCAAATTGTTAAAAAGGTGTGAAATAGTGTACTTATAATACAGTAGGGTTTGTCAACGATAATGATATTGACGACTTTTTTCATTTTACCGACAAAATAAAAAAAAATTCGAAATATCGGAATGATCAAAAAAAAAAAAATTGACAAAGAAAACTGTTTGAATTTTGATCACTTTGTTATAAAATATTTATTTTTTGATATTAGGCCAAAAAAAGTCCATGATAATCTTGTTGATATTTTTTGTATTAAATATATTATGAAATATAAAATTGAGATAAGACGAAAAATTTACTTATTGATACAAAATTCTATTCTTAGATAGGGTTTTTTTATTAAGAAATTGTTGTTATTGCTATTTTTAACAAAACACGAACAATATAATGTTTGAGGAGAATTAAAGTAAGAAATTTCAGAATTAGAAGATATACAAAAACAACTGATTAAAACTCAATTTCAAAAATAAAATGAAATTATTGAGACCCCCCAAAAAAATCCCTATTATATGATATTAGAAGATTGACACGGATAATCCTAATGTCCAGTAATCGTTTATAAAGGTAACACAAACACGTAAAATATTGTTCAATAGTTATTTATAACAGTACTGGTCGAGGGAAAAATATATATTAAAAAAAAAAAAAGAAAGAAATACTACTTAATATTATTTGAATGATATATGTGAAAGTATCTTTTGATATAAGACATGTAAGGTGGTGGATAACCTAAGTAAACGTAAGACGTCAGAAACAAAAGAGAGCGCAGTCGTCGCCGGCTCGCGGTGGTCGTCTTTGCTCCAGTAGATAGACTCTGCACCCTAGTTAGATAGCGAGGATACTCTAATCAGGCTGAGCTCGCAATGTAGTGAGGCGGCTGATGAAAGAGACGAGGTGACCGTATTAACACGTTGACTGCCATGAGGGTAGTTTCAGCCCCTCAGTAGAATTTTTAAGTGAGCCATGAGGGGTCATTTAGTTCTTCACTGTTATGTTGTATTTGAAGACTCGTGGGGTCAAATAGCCCCTGAGTTACCGTCTAAATACCGTATCATCTGATTCTCTGTTATCAGTTTATTAAATTGCTTCAATCAGCGTTTAAATATTTACATATCGGTGACACACCAAAACAAGCGTGGCAGTCAACGTGTTAAATGTATCGTAAAATATACGGTACCATGTCATAATCCCTCGCCAAGCCGTCAGTTACGCACGTATGTAATGGAATCGCAACAGTTTTAACCAACAATTCAATTATGTCGAACTTAAACTTGATTTCAAATGTTTGTTCGCTCTATATATTTAATTAAAAAAAAACTGTAATATGGTTGTACTTTAAGTGATGTGTTTTTAAGGGGGGTTAAATATTATAATTTTTATGAATTATTTATGAAAAAGAAGAGGGAAAGATTAAATGGCTGGGTTGTTGGATTGATGAGGAGAAGATGGAGTAGAAACCTGTTGCACTGTGCTACAATGTCGGTTTGATCGGACTCTACGGGCTACGAAACGTCGGCACGAGCACAGTTTCCCAACTCGGGAAATCAGGCGAGTCCTCAGGTTGCGGATAGAGAAACGGACTGTAGTTATGCAGGTTAGCCGCCAAATAAGCAGCTCATTAATTTGGAATGACGAATAAGCGATCGCAGACAGCGAGCCGCCCAGACGCTCGTTAACCCTGTATATATACAGGGTAGCCGTGAAATAGGCCTATATGGACGAATAAGCGGTAGCGTTTGGGTGTGTGCAATTAAACGCAACCAGTTAAGATAGCCGCTCGCTGGCCTGAAGGATAGGCTATGAGGGCAGCCTACTCACAACATAACTTTAACAATGACAATGGAACGGAATGATATAAAGGTTAACGCATCAGGGAATTCGGATACTCTAGTGTCGACGGTTGGTGCGGGGGCGTACCTACCGGGTGTCGTCATCAAACGAATACGTGATAAATGCAGGAGTGTTGAAGCAGGCTCCTACAGCCAACCATGGGGTTGGTACTGCGATGCAGGTAGTGGTAGTGATAAAGCCACTTCCGCCAGTGAAATAGTCAGGAGGTCATTGGCTCTAGACAGATTGGAAAGAGGAACTAATGCGGCTCCCCTCCAGATGCATTATGGAGATTAATGAGTGTTAAAAAAAAAAACAACATTAGTAATGAAGTTATAGCCAAGGATTTAATATAAAATTATGTATAGAATGTCTAAGATTATAAAAGTGACTACATCGGTCACAAAAAATTATAAATAAATCAACTTTTTTCAACGAGCATAACGTATAAAAGGGAAAATATACCACATTACAAATGATACTGATGTTGAGATGTTCAAGAAGTTGTTTTATGTTGTTGTTGGTGCGATAATACTTATGGCCAAGCCAAATAAAAAGTTTTTTTAATCCTCCATCATTCGTAACAGCCGTCGATAAAAATGTTGACGATGATTTGATGGACTTTTTCAAAACATAACCGTACCGTTTCTTAAGCCGGCTTTATATAACATGAGAGAGGGTTGTGAATAGTGCGACCATAGTTTTGGTTGACCATTGAAAAATGTGATATTTAGGATAAGGGAAACAGGTAGAAGGACAATTCATTAATATAATAAATAATTATGTGTGTATGTGTAATACTAAGTCTATAGATTTATAACGCGCACTTTTTTTTTGAATATAGTTACATAGTATTATATTGCATAAAAGGTGTCCATAGATTTAAATTTAGAAGATGGTTTTTATAGTAATATTGAATCGATTTTCATAAATAAATACCTTCGAAAAAAAAATGTATGATTTAAAATATTCATCAAAATTGAAATAGGTCATATTTACCCCCACGCGACTATGAACGTTAAAAATAAGCTCGCGCCTGCTAAAGGGTTAAGAATACATGTCCAAACTTTGATTATGAGTTTTTAAAAAACCATTACACAAGACTGATAATATTTTGTTCTTTAAAATTTTTAAACAAAAATATGTTATCAAAACCGAGAAAAAATAAGAAACTTGATATACTAATACATTAATAAAATACATTTACAAGTTTTAGATTATTTGAAAAAGTTTTTATTATATTTCAATTTATTTTATTATATTTAATTCATTAATTGTTTAATTATTGTATAATTTATGTGATGAATGTGTATGATGATTTTGAAACTTCATTATTACGTTAATTGATTCTTTTTTGTTTTTAACTTCTATGCAAAGCTGAGAAGGTATTAATTTTACTATGATGTATTTTATAAAATAATTTATTCAAAATAAATAAAATTTTTGTATGAAATATTTAAAAAATGTATAATTTAATTGAACACGAATCATTATTTTTTTGTATTTTTATTATGTGGTAGTACACAGCAGATTATCTCGCACGCGCTAAAACAAATCTCAACCTTATCATGATTATTATATATATATATAATAAGACATTTTAACATTAAGTTCTAGGCAAAATTTACAAAATATAAATATGGTACAAATTATTGTAAAATTTTACAGATTCGCGTCGAAACGTTTAATGATAATGATGATATACGTTGTTAAATATGTTGTTCTAGGTTTTTATTATACAGAGTATTCTAAAAATGTTGAACACTGTGTATTTTTATTATTTGTATGTGCCATTTGATATACTAGGTAGTATAATGAATGTCTGTTAACAAAAAAAGCTAAATTAAGCAGCAATAAAAATGTGTATTTTGTAGAGTTTTTATCTTGCTGTGCTTTTTAGTGGTTATTTTTCGTATTCTATTACTAGTATAAGAGATTTTATTATAATTACAATATTAAAATAGTATAATATTATAATACTACTATAATAAAGTTGGATTCTTTTATCCGTCCATTTAGTGGCTAAATGTTGCTTGCTGAGGTATTTAGGCTATACGAGTATATATTGAATTGATTATCACAAAATAGTTGATATAATATTAATTTAAAAAATTCAATTTTGAAATAAATAATGATTAAAAAAACAATTTATTATTAAATAGATTGTGTACAAATGGTAGTTTAATATTTACCACACCAATAACAATATGGATAATTTGAATAAATAATTGATACAAATTAAAAAATATATATTATATACTATTAATTTTCTAAAAATCAAGTATTTGATTGTCGTACAACAACAATTACACATAATAGAATATTTAGTAAAAACTGATTATTAACAGAAGTAGTATCACCGACTACCAAATAACAATAAATAGGTATATGTGTATAAAACTATCAGGTATTTAAAAATTATACAGTGCTTAAATGTAAACAATTATAAGTAATTAATAATAATTTATTTACAATCATACTAGATAAAATGCGAAATGTCAAGGCGGACTGACGTTAAGAACGAAATCAAATCACAGAAATAGCTCGACAAAACAGTAACAGTAGTAGTATTGGTGTTATGAGCTTACGAAAATGTCGTAAACAAGACTTAAATTTAAAATTTCGAGTTCAGAGATTTTAATAGAATAATAAAAATTTTAAATTGTTTTTTTGAAATTCAAAAAATACAAACTAAGTTTATATAATAAATTTAAAAATTTTAGAATTAATACAATTTTTTTAATGAAATGACTATCACTATGTTATGGTAAATATGGTAGTAATTATAAAAATGATTTACGAGAGTAATGAGTGCCAGAAATACAATATTTTTTCTCATTTTTAACTCTTATTACAATTCTAGTCACCTATGAAGTTTTAAATCCATAAGAGCTAATTTATTTAATAATAGATTAACAACATCCAGTGAAATTAATCAAATAAATTATTCAAGTATTTAATTTATAGTATTTGATGTGTTGATTAAGATTAAGATTATATTGCTTTTAAGTCTATGTATTGGTTCACAAATAATTTACAACTGAATTTGTATTTTAAAAAATAATAAATAAATGGGAGTCAAATACACAATGTAGTTAAAACTTTTTAAAAACTCGTTAGACATAGTTTAAAAGCTTGATTTTTATATCAAAACATGGCTGTAAATTTACATAAAGTATCGGAGCCTGATAAATTAATACTAAAAACGCATTAATAATAATAATATTACAATAATTAAGTTAATTATGACTGTACGCGTCGGGTTTCTTAGGTACCTGTAGCACAAATATGTACCCTACCACAAAACGTTTAGCTTAAGAGATTAATGTCCCCGATTTACAACCAGATTAAAATTCCAAAATTGAACTATATTTAAATATCTCACCCTAATCCCGTTGGTAATGTAAGTTAAAGAGGTCAATTATTCATTAACAATGACTGATAAATCTGTAAAATTATTGAACAAAAGAGTAAAGGGAGTTGTAAGTACAGATGAAACTATGGATTTTTATTTGAGAATCAGATCGCGAAAGCACTCAACCGATATATTAATTTACATTTGATTTGGGTTTGAATATTACAGATTTCATTTCAATACGTACGCTAAAAAACTACTATGTTTTATAATCGAGAGAGTTTACACCGGCCAAGTGCTCTCAAGTTTTTAATTAAAAATTTATCGGATGGATCAATAAAAAGTGTGTATATTTATTTTATGAATGATAAAACTAGAAAACAATAGTACAAAGTGTAAAATATTCATCGGTGTTTCGAGGGTGCAAATCGCGTTAAATATTTCAAGATCTCAGCAAGGCTTATACATAAACAAAACGCCGAATGCACTTCACACTGTAGAAATACGATATATCATTAATGAGACATATTGTGCGCCCTTATGTTTAAATTAAACTACACTTTTCAAACTATCACATCTAGATTTTGAATAACCATTCCATCTGACGAAGATTTATTAATTAAAAACATTTTTGTAATATAGTGACTGTTTATCCTACGAATCATAAAATATTCGATATTTTATGTTTTTATAATCATAATAATAATTATTATTATTATTATAACTATTATGGTCGCAGTCTTATGTGATTTATGAAATAAGTTGGGTAGTGTGAATTTTCATCCAGTTTTACACGTGATCATTTCGAAAGGGCAACGTGTAATTCTATAAACATATATGGTAAGGGCTTTTGTGTTCTATGCGAGGTCACTGTGAGTAATACCTTAACATGACTAACTGTAATATTATGTTATATGTATATTTGCACAAGCAACAACATTGTTTCTTCGGTCGGTTATTTGATACTGCGGGATCTGTAGAGATGGGCAGGTACTTTTAAAATGATATGGGTGACTTGCGATGGAACTATGAAAGAACGTGAAAGTATCGACGAAAAACTAGGATAAATCTTGTCAAACGAGACAAGAGAGTGTGCAACTCAATATCTAAAATACCCAAAAGAAAAGGCTACATTGGACTAATAGCAATTTTATACAATAATTTAAGTACGCCAAGAGTGTTTTTTGTTTTAAAAACTTTGCCCGGAGTCATTATTAGGGATGGATAAGGGTAAAGGGTTTTGATAACTAAAAATACATTTTTTAAATGAAAAAAATTTAAAAAAAAGTAATTAAAATAATAACATAAGCATTAAATTAATTATTGCTCCCGTAGTTATTATTTTGACTGTTAATATAATTTATCGATTCAATAAAAAAAAATTTAAAGCAACACGGATTCAAGACTAGAACTCTGTACAATTAATAAATTACTTGTGTTTGAACAAACCTAATTTATAAACATTGTTAGAAGACAATTACTTAAATACGTGGATCCCCATTTCAGTACAACCAACTAGTAGTAATTAGTAAGAATGTATATAAAAAAAATAATAACATAAGTTTTGATCCCCAAAAGTACAAAGCGACGCCTAGTCATTACTTATTAACTCTCAAGACGTCGCTAATCATTACAACTATAGTAATAGTTTAAACATAAATTTTTCGAATGTCTAGCAAAATTGAATTTATCATTAATAGGTAGTCTGCACGATTTTTTAGTTAATTGAATCAAACTGAAGTTTCTGTTTGGTCAGCAAACGACACAAATTGAGCTTGACCTGAAACAATTGATATTTTATTATTAGGTGTATTTTGTATACATTTTGTATCAAAGGTTACATTACAATTGTATGATAATAATGTCAATTGGCCTTCTGAAGGTCCAATCTGTATAACATATTAGTATTGTCTACAAAGCTCATAGCCTACAATATTCTAATAAATTTATAAAAAATATTGTGTTACATACAATTATTAATAATAATATATAATAAGTATAAAGTACAATGGGAAACAATGTTAGGAATGTCATTGTATACTTAGTGAATTCCATGCTGTCGACTAATTTTATCGGTAAACTTTCCACTGAGTAACTAAAAGTCTATTAAATGAATGGTAGAAATGTATAATTTATTATACATAAATAAATCATAGCATATTGTTATCCTTAATACGATTTATTATGATTTGAAATGATTTGATCGAGAAATATTCTGATAAAGTACTTTATTAAATAATTTTCCTGATATAAGTATTAAAATACTTATATACACGGAAAACCAAGGGATCCATTTATTTTTGGCTAATATTGTAATATCAAATAATAACTGCTATTTGGACCCAATTGATATTATTGTTATCGAAACCTTCACATTCTGTAGCTTTGTCGTGACTTGTGTCTATATTTTTATATGAAGAATAAACTTTTAATACATGTTGCATGTTTTTGTCCATTTCTAATTTGTATTTTTCTATCAGGTTGTATCGATTTACTTTGGCTATTCTATTATTTATAAAATCATAATATGATAGAATCAGAAAATCCATTTCAGTATACATAATTACATATCAATATGGCATGCAATATGCTATGTGTTCCATAGATAAATTACTAGATTGGTAATTATAAAGGTTCGGATTTCATTTTACTAGGAAATATCAATTAAATAGTAATATAAACGGTAGAAATTCTCTTCGAATTGATCAGAGAACAACTTATTTCCAAGAAATAAATAATAACTAATACAAATGGATATAAAATATACATAACCTAAAAAAAGTAATATGTTGAAATTCAAATAACTACAGAAGTTAAGATATATAGTTTTGATAAAAAAATATTTATAAATAAATTTATATAAATTTTATCAGTTGTTTTTTTAAACTAATAAAAAATTAATTAAACTGATTAATCAAAATTAACCTAAAACTGACTTTGAATGTAATCCAAATCTCAATGAGTGTTAATTATAATTAAATATGCAACTGACGGCAAGACAAGAGTATATTACTAAAATAAGGTACGAGAACACATTTCAAACCAAACACCCCTTGATATAACTCTGTGTAGGATTTCAGAACAATATATTTAGTAAATAAGACTCAAAAATAGTTTAAACAATACCAGTTCAAAGTTTTAAAGGCTTGAAATATATAAAATGTTTAAAAAAAAATGTCATAGTGATGATTGAGTTTGACCTGTACAGTATTTAATTTTAAAATCTTTGAATAATTAACATATACATCCCAGTTTTCGAGTCTTGACAGGATTTTTGGGTATTTTCTTATTTTTTGTATTTAATAAAAAAATAATAAAATTTAGCAAAAAAATAAATATAAGTTTTCCAGTAATTTTTATGCTTGTTGTTATTTGTTCGTTTTTTGATAAAATTAGCAATTCGAGTTAATTCAAATGTTAAAATTAATATATTCGACTCATAAAAAAAAATAAATTGAAATACGTTTAGCTCTATATTCTATGTCAATTAGTTATATATAATATTCATGAAAATAAGTGTACTACATTATAAGGTATATTAAAATAAATTAAAAAACAATACCAAGAATTTTAATACAAAAATAGCACATTTTTGAATATGTTAACAATGTTCATTATATTTCGAAATTTTTTTTTCATAGTATATTATATTACATAAGCTTTAATTTAAGTTTAAATAAAATTGTCAATATTTCCGGAAAATTTTCAAAAATTGAATTGAAAATGTTTAACTTGTGTGTAAAAATTGTTCTAATGTTACAATATATAAAAAGAATTATTTTAAATTGTTAATTTAATTAAATTAAATTTAATTGTTAATTAAGTATTAAAATATATCACGTTAAACAGTAATTTTTACATAAAAATTACATTTTTCTTTAAATTCGATGGACATTATCACATAGAAGGAAACGTGTCGCGACAAATTTTTATTTTGAACTTATAGTATTTATCATAAGCTTTAATTTGACATATATTTTAAGCTCGGAGTATTCATTTTTAAAACTTAAGTTAAAAAATTTTAATTGTTGTGCAGAAGTTACTATTTTGATTCCCCCCTGTGGGCAGATAAAGGATCATATTTTTAAAAAATGTATATAAAATAAAAGAAAAATATCTATGGTTTCAATATAAAAAAGAATTATTTTAATTCCTTCATTTTTCAATAAGTTATGGCAATTTTTAGAAAAAAAGTTTAAAAAATGTCGAAATTTACCGATTTTAAAAATCGTAATTTTTTGGGGGATTTCACTATTTATGGAGAACAAGTGCAAAATTTTCAATTTTTGATTGTAATGTCTTCAACTAGATACGATTTGTGATTTTTTGACATATCGTTGAGAATAATTGGTCCAGTGAGAACTAAGAAAAAGTAGTGACGGATACAAAAAAAAAAATAAATACATCATGGTAAAATTAATACGTTCTCAGCTTCGCATCAAAGCTAATATTATCTTTTCAAATATATTTCCATGTTTATATTTATCTTTCACTAATTTTGTATCGTAAAAAAATTATCAACATTATTATGAAAAAAATGTTATGTGTTTACGGTAAACAAATATTTAAAATTTTTCTTTATTTAGTTGGCGTGATAAAAATATGCTAGAAATAATGGCTATTCTGTGATGTTGAATTATTCTTGGTTAAAAGAATTTTTGCAATCCCTATGTATCATTTTATATTGTTCAACGTTTGTTAAGAACTCTTTGTATGTACGAAAGTTCACAAGGGAATTAACAGTTTTCCTTTTTGTATTCAATATTAAAACATTTTTCAAATTGAGCACATCTATTCATCCATTTTTGCATTTTTGAAATATTTTCTTCTTCTTCTTTTTCTTCCTCGCCTTAATCCCAACTACTTGGGGGTGGCCACCCTTATCCTAAACTTCCACTTGACACGATCTCCCACATTATCTACACTCACAACAGCTGTTCTCAATAGCATCCCTTCATTTCTTTTTTGGTATTCCTCTACCTCTTCTTCCTTCAACATTCATTTTTATAACTGTTCTTACAGCTTCCGATTCTTCTCTCCTCATAACATGACCAAACCATCTAAGTCTATTTTCTCTCATCTTATCCACGATTGACGATACACCTATACTCCATCTTATATGTCCGTTTCTTATCATATCTTCTCGTCCAACACTCCGAACCATACATCATAGCTGGTCTCACTACAGTCTAATAGAACCTACCTTTTAGCCTCATTAAAGTTCTCTTATCGCATAACACACCAAACGCTTCTCTCCACTTCAATGACCCGCACTTAATCCTGTGTCTTACATCTTCGTCAATATCACCTCTGTACTCTATCATACGCTTTCTCCAAATCTATAAATACCATACACAGCTTTTACTTCTTTTCCCTAAATTTTTCTATTTAAAATATTAAAATATTTTATATTTTGTTTAATAAATTTTTAAGGTTTCTTGATGTTAATCTTAGATATACATTATTTGATGAATACACTGTACACAAAATGACAATTGAATTTTACAAAAAACAACAATGCAATTGATATTTTTTAATTTTATTTAGTAAAAATATGAAAGTATTAATAAGTTTGAATTATTATTGGTGATGGTACAATATGTTAAAGAAGTTTAATATTCTCTCGATGTAAAAGGCAAAAATGTAAAAACACAATTTAAACAGTAATTTGTCAATAAGAAAAATTATACTTCATCAAGTGTTTATTCAATGCTTGTATTCAGATTATTTTGAATTAACCAAAATGACAGCTCATTGTATCTAATAATTTAAGCAATATTTTTCTATTTGGTAGAAATTATAATCAAAACTGTAAGTTTTATAAATTGAAGCTTATTTCGACGGTTTTCGGAGAAAACGTGCTAAGATTAAATTAGAATTTTTCTTCTATTTTTCAATTAATTACTATAAAAAACTGTGCACGAGACCATCATGACCTTAGTTTGTTCTAAATGAAAGCCTTCTTTGTGTTAAGTAGAAATTTAATCATGTTGTCATTATACGCAGTTTTTCTACAGTAGTTATTAGAATAAAAGAAAATACATTTTTGCTAGATTTGAATTGGCACTTTTTTTAAATACCATCAATTCAATAACATATTTTCTTATGAAAGTTTAAGTTATTTAAAAATATTAATTATGTACTATTGAAGGGCTCAAGTCGCTTAAATTTTTTTAATACTCGTCATGATAGTCTATGTTTATCGTTCTACCAATTGCTACGATAATTTTCAAATAAAGTAAGTAATTACTATTTGTATAGGAACGTAGCACGCGTCTTATGAGCCTTTCATTAGTTCTTATGTATACTCAACATGTTGTCTGCTGTCTAAAAAAAAAAACGAATAACAACCAAAGAAAAGAAAAAAACATTTTATGAGGCAGAAAGTATAAAATAAGGGTTAAAACAAACATTAATTTTTTTTATTAATAATATAGAATATAAAATAATAATACACGTTATTTCAACGAATAACATCGGTAAATATAAAAATGCCACTAAGTTGTAGAAATAATTAAAAATATTGATTGTTTACTTACATTCCAGGTATTTGGCGAGATCGTAATCTTTAGTTTCCTCGGCTATTTGTTGTGCTGTCCTGTCGTTTTTATCAACTGCCAAAAGCGGAGCTCCGGCCGACACGAGGAGGTAGCAGATTTTCCTCTCGCCGTTTTTCACCGCCACGTGTAGTGCAGTTTGGCCTCTAATACGTGGACGGAATCAATTAAATTTATTTTCAATTTTAAGTCATGTATTGATATCCAAACAAAACTTGATACTTACTCTTGATTGTCTTTAATTGAGACTATAGTAGATGGTGCGTTGGCTAGTATGTAACGTACTACATTGGAATCGCCCCGTTGACTGGCTACGTGCAACGCTGTTTGACCATACTTATCGATGGACATCAACGAATAACCCATTTCGAATAAATTTTTCAACTTTAATCAAAATCATACCCGTTAATGTATCATGACTTCGTTCAAATACAATGTTACAAAATATAAATAGTCGGATAAAAGCTTTAGAAAACTTATAAATTATAAACTGGTTTTTGTTAAAGAATTTTCATGAACATAGGAAATATAAAAGACGAAGACAGTATTTAAATAAGTTGATTAAAATAATAGCTATGACCATATAGATTTAAAGTAAATTCGATCTACAATGCAACGTTAAAGTACTTGATAAAAAACGATTTTTTTGAAAAGAAGAAATGTTTATTTTAAGATAAACAGAAGGAAATGAAATAGCGTCGTTGTATACTTGAAACTAATTTCAAAAGCTCCACAACTTTTTTCATTACTTTTAACTCTTTTCATATTTCAAAAAGAATTATAGGGGACAAATCTCGAGACGTTAGCAGTATGAAACGCGTACAACCCTAGTAATAGCACCATGCATCTTATGGACGACGCTTTGAATATTGTATTAACACAAAGTTTTATTTATACCAGATGCAAAAATTAATGAAATTATTACCATGCTTAAGTTTCCCGATTTGGCAGCATCAACGATTTTTTCTGATGTTCTCATTCGATTACAACGACTAAAACAAAACACCAAATTTAGTTCCATTATTAATTTTAATATAGGGGAGATATGGATAATGTCGCCCATCAATTAATACTAGCCACCTTGATAATATGCTTAGTATAAATACTACAGTTATTTAAGTATATATTGTCAAAATAAAATTTATAATTTATTTTGACATAATCTATTTCAAAGCTAAATTTATTTCAGACTTTATCTCGCATTTATGATGAATTTTCAGTTTTGAATACGATAACAAAGTAGAGAAAAGTAATCCAATGTATCATATAAAAAGTTTTTAAACATAATTTAATGTTTATAACAAGTACCTATTTAAAAAAAAAATAGATTTTTCATTATTTTTATGGAAAGCAGCGTTCTTATCTCCCATAAAAGTAATTCGTCTCAAAATATTTTTTTAGAAATCACGTATCATTAGATATTAAGTAATTTTAATTTCTCTCTGCGAGTAAAATTAAAAAGAGATGAGTTCCATCTATATTTCAAAATAAAATTTGTCTCTTTATGTCAATTATTATAGATATTATAGTCAATATTCCTTAAGTGGGCGGCATTACTCGTAACACCCCTAGTTAGCGAAAAATGATTATATTACAATCTAATTAAAAATTATAAAAATAATTTCCTTTACCCTGAAATTAAATTTTTCATTAAACTATTTAATACCTAGTAAATTACTTTTAGTATAACTTAATTTTTACTCGAGAAGTTTTTACTCACCGGTTCCCATTTATTTGGACATCGAACAAGAGGCTGTACGTGTCACTAATTACATGCAGAAATATAACAAAAGAAAGTACATGCATGTTAATTAAGTAAAACATCTTATTTTCAAAGTTTGATGAACATTTATTCTTGTAAGTACTTATGTTCACCATTTACAAAAAAACCAATTCAAAGTTTTTTTTAAATAAAACTTAAGTGGCTTTTATGTTAGATAGTTTAAACGAGAATAAAATATTTAAACAGCTTAATTAAGAAATGTTATACGTGCTGAGAATAAAAATAAAAATATTTTTACAGGAAAGAAAAAGTAGTTAACATTTTTATTAAGTATGACAAGTGTCACATTTAAAAAGAATAACTTACACGAAAAACTGTTAAAGAGGATATCGTTACAGTAACTTTTATACAGAGTGCCTCAGATCTAACTAACAACGCTTATATGATTTTTAATACAATTTTAATTTTTCTGAAATATTTAAAAAAATAAATAATGTTTTTTTATACTACGTTCAAATCGTATTTTGTTATTATTTCTGTCTTATTAGTGATAAATTTTCAACAAAATCATAATTGTATCAAAAGTTATAAGCGTTATCAATTAGACCTAAGATAACACATTGTATTTCTCTTTTTCACTTTAAAATTAAAAAAATTAATTAGCAATAAAGTACTACTAAGAATAAATTATATAGGTTATGTTGTCACCCACTAAGATTTTATGGTAGGTGCAGTATCTCTTGTTTGTTCATCATTACATTGAAACGTAACGGAAGTCTGTCTTTTGATGCTTTCCAATCGTTTTACTTCTGTCTTTACCCGTATGCTTTGAACATGATTAAAACCCTCTTAAAACGACATACTACTTACCTTGTACTAATGTAAACGATTTATTTAAATTAAATTATTACTAACCTCGTCGTCGAATCTTCGGATTCCAAGTCGTTAGTAGAATCCTTTGATTTCATTACTATGGTCACATCATCTTCAGTGCCTGAAGATTTATGTGGGTCATCTAAAACGAATAGTTGATCATGGGTGATATCTATTAGGTAGTGCAGACTTTCTTGAGCCCGATCGATTCGGAAGAATCGTTCAGCAGTACAACCTATCGAGGTAAATGTAAACTATTAGTAAAAATTTATGATAATATATTGCAATGTTTTTAACAATACTCACAGTCTACAAAACACCAGTCTGATGATAACCTGGGTAAAATATTTCCAGAATGATCTTTACACGATCCGCTGTTGACTTCTAACTTATCAACCAGATGTCGTACTGTTTCTAAATCAGCTATGGGTTCAACTTCAATCTCTCCCATATTTATAGCTAAAATAAATTTCTATATTAATAAAACAAACATTGATAATCTACTACAAAGAGTTCATCTTTCAAAATATATCCAGTAGCGTAGATAAGATTTTGTTCTGGAAAATACATTTAACAAATTTTTACTACCTTCATTAAATGAAAAAGTTAATTGGGGTACTTCACCACTTAATTTTTTCTTCTAGAAATTTAACCCTCGCCTTAATTACGTTTCTCGTTATAACCTATAAATATTATACAATGACACTCACATGATTGGATCAACATTTCTTTGTCACAGTGGTGCTGTTCATAATCTTGAAGTTTCAGTCTTTGGACAGCTACTTTATGTTTCTCTATCGTAGCTTCTCTGTAATATTGATTTATAATATTTTAATACATAATTTGTGTTACAAAAGTATAATTTATTTAAAATTAATTAGAATAATTTCTTTTCTATTGATTTCAATTATTGAAAGCCGTTAATAGATAAATTAACATAAGAAAAATGTACAATGCGTTTTTGTATTTACCGAGTAGGTGTTTGTCTGCCTTTTCGCCGTTTTGCCATCAATGTTGCTTGATTAAAAAATCCAAGTGTTATCACTGATGGTTTTAACCGACAGGCTTCACCATCAACTTGCATGGGAACAGATATGCTATTGGTAATTCTAGCAGTCTTGCACTGGCATAGTGGCGTTCCTGTTCCTCCGGTTTGCAATCTTGTCTACAAAAATAACAAAAAAATTGATTTTGTAGAAGAAGTAATTGAATAAATATAATTATTAGAACTTTCAAACTTTAAATTAAGTATTATTAAAACTTGTTAGCTAAATTCTATGATTTTATTATGACTTTAAAGTTCAACTTTTATTCGTTTAAAGTAACAAATAAGAAATTTTCTGTAGTAGTAACATTATTACGTTAGTCCATTAATTACATTTATAAACGTTAGAATTCATATTAAACTATTTTAGTTGAACAGTTAAAAACAATTAAGAATACTTCATTTTGAAAGCTGTAAACTTTTCTACTACATAACAAACTGAGTTTAAGATAACATATTACTAATTAAAAAAAAAAATGAATTACTAAACAATGCGTTGACCGACCCCAAGCAGTTAGGATTAAGGCGAGGAAAAAGAAAGAACTACTAAACAATGCATACATTAAAAAATCATGAATTATCTTAAAAACTAGTTAATTATTATAAAGGTTCTTTAGAATTTAATATACCAATAGATTTTTCGATAAAATTTAAATAAATTTTTTTTTAGTTCCTTGTAGATACATGTCTTTCTCAATCTATCAATCATGAAGTATTTTTTATGTTGAGGGTGTAGTCTAGCACAGTGGATCAATCATTCAGTCATCGCCTTAGCGCTGATGATAAGTTGCACTGTTTGCTGTTTGTTCCCGGATGGGTGACCATATAGGAACTTAAACAATGACAAATGTCCCTATACAGGTTTTCATAGTCATAATAAGGTCGTGTCAGGTCAACAGGCAGTGTAAAATTCCGTCAAATATTAATGCAGAACCGTTTTAAATAGTTGGTATAGAGGCTATGGTGTTTTAATGGTGATTATAATGAAGTAATTTTTATGTTCATATCTTATAAGGTGTTAACGTTATGTCAACAACTATTTTTTGAAATGATAGTATACATAATTAACTGCTTATTTATTATATAATAATCTAAATAAAATTACTAGTCAATAACAACTTTTGGACTAATATTTTAGAATTTATTAACATTTTTATACCTAGTTGGAGAAAAGAGTGAGGCCGAGAGATGTCTAGTAATAAAAATAATAGCACTCACGCCTCACCTCCTAACATCACTTTAAATTGTTAACTCTGAAATACTGGTCCGTGCTTGTTATTGACCAGTCATTTTCTTAATTATAACATTATCTAAAGAGAAGTTTGTTAGTTATGTATGTTGTCATTTGAAAAAATAAAGTTTACACTATTAAAGGAATGAAGACAAAAAATACTTCTTGATTGATAAATTTATAAATATATGTATCTAAAATAAATAATAATAAAAAAAAGATCAATATTATTTTTATTTCATCAAAAAATCTACTCGTTGATTAAATTCTGATGAGACTACGTATATAATTTAAAGCATCAAAACATAGTTTTGAGAATATATATTTTGGTGCAAATATTGGCTTATTGTAGAAATTAAGATACGTACAATTTGCATAATTGTTAATCCAATAACTTCAATAAGCCCATCGTCTGTAGAATTATTACCAGCTGACTTATTCCAAGGCCGCGTGCCTCCGCTGTAACTAGGAATGTTTAAGAATAGTATTGCGTGTACTTTAAGCTCTTTTATGCGCTGGGTCAAGTCTTTGCCATCACATTCTAACGTTACGTGATCAGATAAACCTTTCCATTTGCGATCCAACAGCTCTATTCCACCCCTGACGCCGTAGAATAATTTGTTGTACATCCGAGAATTAAACTTTTCCGGATTGGCTTCTGTACCAAAAACAAAACACATTTTTAAAATAAAAACCCTTTTATAATTAAAAGTAATAATAAATTAATAAATAGATGCCTGATAAAGTAGTATCATCGAATATTACTCCATAAATTATTCATTATAGATTCATATAATAATGTAATTAGAATCAAATATTAACGCGGTTATTGTTTAACTTTGATAACTTTTACAAATATTTATTTACAGTAAACTGAATAAATGTTGATTAATTATTGTATAATCATGTAACAAGTGAAGCTTTTATTTCAGTGTTGCTTCATAAAACAATTTGAAAGACCAAAGTAACGAACAAAATTATTTTTCGTTAGTGAGAAAGGAAACTTTATTCTTTCAACTATAATCGATATTATAACAGTAAAATCATGGCAGTTAATAATAATTATGTAAAACACAATGAGTCTATGTTGACAAAGCATATAAATTATAATTTGTTTTGTTTTCTTGTCGTGTATTAATTTTCTAGACACATTGCAACATTGAAATGTTAAAAATGCCATTAATTAGTATCACTTAATAATATTTTATAATGATAGCAAACCTCTTGCTTCGTGAAATTCCAGTGAAATTTGAGCATCAACACCTAATGAAAAATAGTTATTCACAACATTAAGTGGTAAATTATCTTTTCCGGCATGTTCGGTGCCTTTTGCATTTTCATTAGGTTCTACTTTTAAATTCCAGCGATCCAACCGAACTGTATCACTTTCTTCTAAGTTGGTTAGAATTTTTGACACTGGTTCGTCCATATAACCCTTAAAATCATCCAAAAGTTTAAATTAACATTAAATGAAAGTATTTTTTTCGGGAGTTTCAATTGAAATTTGACGTTCTGTGTATTATATAATAAATAATTTATATTTTTGAAAGAAAACTTACACCACCCCATCCAAGCGCTCTTGCTAGATCGTTACCGGTCCCAAGCGGCAACACGCCAACTGGAAATGAAACTGCATTTGCGATTTGATCTAATATAGAGAGAACCCATCCGACAGTTCCATCACCACCACAGGCTAACACTCTGAGATTAGGTACTTTTTTATAAAGTTCTAGACCCATTTTAGGACCACCTCGGCTGAGGTCAAAAACTTGCCTTGGGTTGAGATGCCATTGAAATTTTTGTAAAAGTTTTACACCCTGGTTGCCGCCAGACTTTGGATTTATAAATATTATCACAGGTTTAACGTTTAAAGTTGGGATCGGTTTGATCACAAATAGTTTATCTTCTTTGTCTGGCTGAAAGAAATATAAATAGATAAATTATATTAAAGTTGTCTAGGAAAAATAATTGAAAATAATTAAACCTACATTACGTTTGTTCCAGAACAAAAGGATACCTGAACAATCTTTATTTTACATTAGGATAAAGTTGTAACAATAGGAGAAACGAGACCCTAGAGGTATAGTCCTAATGATGTGACGATTCTAATGAACTGTATATGAACTTTTGTATCCATTTAATGATGCCAGAGTAAAAATGGATACCCTTTTTTACGTTTTATTTAGTTAAGTGTATAAAGTTTCATTATTTATTTTTTGGAATAAAAGATAATATCATTTATAATTGGTAACATACCGAAATTGCATTTAATATTTTTTTCACATTTTTGCTGTATAATTATTTTTATAAGCATTTCATCAAGTCATAAATTATTACTATAAAAAAAAAAAGTTATTAAAATATTTTTTCATAAGAGGTGTCTTATAGACTTTGATTAAATCAACTTTATATAAATAATATGAATAGAAATAATTTATTAAATGAACATCTATACTAAAGTGAACTATAAAAAAGTAGAATTTTATGAATAAAAGTTTACATATATTACTTCTTGATATCATGAAGAAAAATAGTTTGTTGTTACATATTTTATTAAAAAGTAATATTTTTAAGACCTGTTTCAAAAATTTTTCATTTTATATGCATTAAAAATATGTATATGAGATTAACTTCAAAAACTATTTAAACATTAAAAAAAGAAAGCAGTAGTTACATAATCTCAAAGTTAGTTTTAAACTGAGATAATAAATATTTTACAGCCAGTTTTATGAATGTAGTCATATATTCTATGCCATTATTATTTGGCCTAAATATAAAGTATTAATATAAGTATGTTTGTATGAAAAATAAAACAGAATTTCTATTATAATCTCTTAATTTTTATTGATACCTTTAAAATAAATTATGTAAGATTTAGAATAAATTCATTACAAAAAAACGGTATTTTTAAAAACGTGTTAATTAAGTAAAAAAAAAAAAGAAATCGTGAACACAATGTGAACGTGGCCATAAATGGGACAAGTATAAATCATAGAACAGCTTCGATGCAAATCTGTAGATAGTGTTTAATTTTAAGAAATTGGTAGATTATAACAAAACCAACACCAACTCCTTTTTCATTAGTTATATTTTGATTAGTAGTTCATTGATTTATAATTATAATACTAATAAGAATAAATACTAATTAATGTAATTAAATTTAATATGAAATTGATATTCAATAATGTAATATTCTAATTTTTACAGAGATATAAAACATTATAAAGTAATTGTATATTTCGTTATTTATATGGCAAATATGTATACAAATTGAATGACTTGATACAAAAATCTTCAAGAAATATTTTTTTCTTAATTATGTATAAATACACCGGTCTACATGGAATTTTCATAAGAGACCAGAAAAATAAGACAGAATTTTGTAAACCAATTTTTGCACCGATTTCAAATTTGTAATTTGATTTTTTCTATTACCTCTTTTTTAAGATCATCACTAATTAGTAAAAAATGAGTATTAAAAAAAATGTTTTTTTTTCAAATTATTACTGATTTTAATTTATAATATGTTAAAAATGAACGGCGCAAAATTTCATTTTTAACCTATTTTGTTGGTTCTTTAAACTTGATATTTATAAAAGTTTATAATAAAAAAAGTTGAACTTTTAATCATAACTTTTTTTAGCTAAACTTACAAGTTTGAAATCCACATTATTAAATAGAAAATTGTATGAGAGTTAAAAAAATGGTATTGTTAAGATTAATATGCGTCAGGAAATTTTATTATTACTATTTACAGTAAATTTATCATTATCATTATCAATTTATTATTTATCATTTATCACTTTTTTGCATTTTTATTACAATAGATCACTTTAATAGAAATCATAGTAATCATTTCTAAATAATTTTTGGTATTTAAAAAGATTCTTTAAATCAAATATTCAGAATTTAATTAATTTTATAGATTTACATTAACTAAAAAATTAATCAAAAAATATTTTAAAAATCTATTCATTTGAGTATATTAGAAAAAGTGATTATAATTGTAAAAATCAATTTTTAAATTCAGGTGACACCAAAAAAATGTTTAGAAATGATTTATATAGTAACATGTTATCAAAAAATTGGAGTATTAGAGATCGGTAGTACACAATAGTCAAGAAATTAATAAATAATAAAGTAAAATTTTATAATTTTGTACTTGTAACCTATTAGAATGTCAAACCTAAGAATATTAGAAATTAATGATTTTAACTGTTAATATGGAGAATATAACTGTTTAATTGATAAAGGAGATTTTTTTACAATTTTTGAGGGTAAAATTTTCAACAAGATATAAATTGTGATCATTTTTTTGTTAATAATTTTAATAACAGATACAGAATAAAAACTACGTACTAAAATAATTTCAACATAAATAAGAAATTCCTTCTCATAAGGGGTGACTATAGTGATAGGGTCTTTGAAGTTTATTCATTGAAGTTATTCAATCTAAATGAGATAAAAATCAAACGTATTTTGAATTATTTTCCTATAATGACAAATAATTATTGGGTGAGGGTGTCTGTCAAACTTTTTATCCCAAGCGTAAAATACCTTAGTATTACCGACACAGTAATCATACATCGCATTGATTTATAACTAAAAAAGACAATTTAAGCAAGTTTAAAATTCAAAGTTGTTTACCTCGACTTTAAAGAAGCAAAAAATTTAAAATATAATAATACTTCTGTATTGAAAGCTAATAAAAAAATAAAAAAAATTTAAAATAAATTTAACTTTATATTCTATGTCAATTAAATTAATATAATTTTTATGAAAATCAGCGTAGATACCTTGTAAGGTATTTTAAAATAAATAAATCATAAAATTGTTCATTTTTCAAAAAATAATAGCGGAGTTAAATCTAAATGAAAAAAATTTGCACAAAGTTGGGTGCAAATGTGTACATCCCTTTTTCTTATGACTTAATATACATTTTAGCTTCGATGCGAAGCTGAGAGGTATTAATTTTACTATGATGTGTTTTTTTTTTATGTCTGTTGCCACTTTTTCTCAGCTCTCACTGGACCGATTTCTTTCAAAAATACGTCAAAAGATCACAAATCGTATCTAGTTGAAGACATTACCCTTAAAAATTGAAAAAAATTCCCTCGTTCCCCGCAAATGGGGGAAATATCCAAAAAAATTACAAATTTAAAAATCGGTAAATTTTGTCATTTTTCTCACTTTTTTTTTTAAAACTTCCATAACTTTTTCAAAAATAAACAAATCAACATAAATTTTTTTTATACTCAAACCTTAGATATTTCCCTTTCATTTGTCATCATTTTTTTGAAAATCTAACACTTAACCTGCTTATGGGGGGGGATTTAAAATAGCAACTTTTTTACAAAAAATAACTTTTTCAACTTAATTTTTGAAAATGTTCCGGAAATACTGCGTCCTTTAATCATATATCAAATTAAAGCTTATGTCATGTACTATAAAATTAAAAAAAAAAAATTATCCCGACGACCTATCCTCTATGCGCAAATGGCTACCGTATTCAAAAATATGCTATTTTTCTATTAAAATTCTAGGTTTTGTATTTTATTTTATTTTAAAATATCTTATTAGGAGAATATATGACTCTCATGAATATTATATAATTTAATTGACATAGAATAAAGGTCATAAGACATAAGAAATTAAACTTATTAAATTTTTTTTACTTTTTTATTTTCATACTAAATTTAATAATTATAATTAGTATTTATTCATATATTATATTTTAAAATCAAAGAACTACTAATTAGGATATAATCAAAGAAATAAGAGTTGATGTTGCTTTTGGAATAATCCACCAATTTCTCTAAATGAAACACTATCTACAGATTTGCATCGAAGCGTTTCTTATGATAGTGATTTTAATCACTGTCAGATATCATCTATACTTGTCCATCTATGCCTTGTCTACACTGTGCCTCAACCCCACTGTGCTGGGTTTTTTTTAATGTTAAAGTTAAATTAAATATTTTCGAATAAAAAATTAATAGGAATGGACCCCTTTCAATCCTTTTTTAATAGACTAAAATAGTTAACACTAATTTTTTATAGATACATTATAGTATTCAAATGTTCTTATATAACTTATTTTATAAATGTTTATAATTGGTAGAGAGGTCATTTGCTATATAATTAAAATTTGTAATATCTTATTTTTCTAGAATACTGTTTTTTTAAGTAGCTTAATATATATTTATATAGGTAATTAATAATTTGTTTAAGAAAAGAAATTATTGAAGAAACCTTTTTATAGAATAACAAGAAAATAAACATATCTTACTGCATAAACTGATTATTCTTTATTAAATTAGATTTAATAATCAAACATTATTTTTTAGAATGACATTGTTTAAAAATTATATCGTTTATGAATAAATTTAAATAATATAAATTTCTTAAAGATTTTTAACTGTGCAAAATAATAAGTTTCATAATAAATAAACTAATTTTTATAAACATTCAATTTACGATAGTAGATATTTTAATGGATAAATTATAATTTTTTTTTTAACTAAGCATTATCAGTTTTTGTTTATACAGCTTGACATATAGTAGTGGGACTTAAAGAGCTTTTAAATGTAACACGATATGTCAACTTGACTCAGAATCCATATCACTAACTTTGTGAAATGCCACATAGAAGTTCGGTAAATGAATCAAAGACATACGGTAAGTTTGGTTATTTTTATTGGAAAAAAGGCGCCTAAGGGAATATCGGCTTTTATGGATGTGTTTTAAAGTATATACTGTTAGGAATACGTACAAAGACTAGTAATATGTAAATAAAGTCAAATAATCTGATGATTGCACTAATAAAATAAAACCAATAATGTTGAATAGTTTGAAAAATTTCTGTTTGCAATTCATTTAGTGACACAAAAATTAGAGAAAAAAAATGAACAGATAAATTTTTAATAGTTTAATAAATTAGTTTAATGAATATTTCATTATAAAGGCTCACTGCGTAAAAAAAATAAGCTAATTACTGATGTTTTCAACGATAGATTCAATTATAAAACACAAAATAAATGTAAAGTGAATACACATGTCCTTTAATACAATACTCAGTATTTAAAGATACTATAAATTTTAATTTGATTAGATACAATTGTCTTGTTGTTGTTATCGTTGACTTCGAGAATAGTGACATTTTATTGTATTAGTAACATCCCTTACTCATAAGTATATCTCATTAAGGAGCATATATAACCCTAGAAAATCAAATTATTTTTGAGTGCTAATCAGTGAAGCATACTAATTGAACTAATGTATTAATTTAAAAATTTCTCCTGTAGTCAACATTTATTCTGGCTAATAAAAAAACTTATTTTAATTAGTATTTAAAATAATAGTCCTAAATAGAGAAATTAATCTTATATTATATTTTATTATTTGAGATAAAATTTATTTTTTCAAATAAGTAGTAGATACTTGCATTTTTAAAAAATAAAAAAAAATTTAGTAAATTAATTATACCAAAATAATTTATTGCCAGAGTCACGAAATATGTAATAAAAATATATATTTTTTTGAAAAGAAATTTTATGTTATAAAAGTTATGTTATTAATAATATAAATGATTTCAAAGTACTAAAATAATGAGATGATAGCTCACCTTATCTTTTGTTTTCTTCTTTGAAGATCGCTTTTTAGGTGATCTTATACTGGATTTAAAATTTCCTTTTCTGGGTAACTTAACAATCCACGAAGGTGGAACAATTATGTTGCTATGTTTGCCTAAAAGATAAATAAATAAAAATAAATTAGAAATTATTCGGAAATATGGAATGAAATTAATCAAAAATATTAAACTTATTAATATTGATTTTGTTAAATAATTTATATCAATGATAATACAAAAAATAATAATAATAATAATAATAGTAATGCAAATTTTACGCTTGTACTTATTAGTCTAATAAATTTTACTATAGGGTTAAAAACTTTTCAAATAATATAAATGTCGTTTCCAAGTAAAAATTATGTAAATGGTTCGTGTTACGCATCTTCTATATCATGAATAATATAAATTTTTCTTTTACACTTTATTAGTCATCTAGTTTGTTTACTTCTTGTTGGTTCAGATATGTATCATTAATATTATTAGGAAATATGTTGAGAAAATAGAATAAGTTTTCTTTTGTCTTTAAATACTCTTATATTATTATTAGTCATATAACCATATATGTAACTAGCAAACAAAGTTGCGCCGTAAATTGTAAAGTTAGTTTAACCTTTTGAAGCCATTAAAACACATATTGACTATTTAATGTAATTTCTAAATTTCTGCAAACTATGATATTATAATTATTTGTACTGACCACGATTAAGGTGATCAATTTTAACTTGGAATAAACATAGTACTTGGATATATGGTTAAAACTGACTATGTATAAATAATTTTATCGCACATCGTAAACATTACACAAATATATATTTAATGGAAGGTTTACTTTCTGTCCCAAGGCAAAGCTAAAAAGGTTTTACAGGGCATTTTGTCATTGTAAATTTTTTCTTTTGTAATCCTAAAACCCTTTTTATTGAACTTGTTTTGAATATGAATTATATTAAAGTTGAACACGTGGTTTTTTTTGATTACATCACGTTTGATCGTTAAAAATCAAAACTTATCCAAAAAATTATTACATTTCACTGTTACATAAATTTACAAAACTATAACTAAAGGGCCGTATAAGATTTTTTAACATTATTATTAATAATATGTAGATATTTATTTATATAAAAATAAAATTGTCTTTTACCTTATATTATATAAATTTTCAAATGATTATGATTGTATATAATTTATTGTATGTGTATAATTATGATTGTATATATATGTCATTTTGATATTTATCTGAATATCATTTAATAATAAGATAATATTTTAGGTATTTAGATAAAATGTGTAATATCATAAGTTAAATTGAATTTTTCAAAAATTTATTAAAATAGATGATTTATGAAATTATAAAGATTATAAACCAATTTTAAAACCTAAGTGTAAAATTATGGGCGTTGGAGATATCCTATGTATTGTCTATATGACATTTGTTTATTTATCTTTACAAAATAAATTTTAATAAACTATTACCTAAGGTTCTACTTTAAGCACTTACTTATTTTCTATAGTGATGGAAGAAATTACTAGAGAAATACAAGGATAGTTAGGTACAGTTGTGCATGTTGTACACAGACGATATAGTGTTAATAGGAGAAAATAGAGGGGAAATTAATCAAAGGTTAGATGTGTGAAGATCAGCTCTTGATGGGAAGATGGTATTAAGAATAAGTAGGAGTAAGACAAAGTATACAGAGTACGAGTTTGACAAAGGAGAACACAAGGTAGATGATATGAAGAGATCATTGACAATAAGCGAGGACATGATAAGAGAGGTTTAAAATTTTAAGTATTTAGAATCAGTTGTGCAAAAAACGGTTAGGTTGACGAGGATGTAAGACACAGGATTAAGTGCGGGTGATTGAAGTGGAAAGAAGAATTTGGTGTGTTATGTGATAAAAGAATTCCAATGAGGTCGAAAGGAAGGTTCTATTAGACTGTAGTGAGACCAGCTATGATTTATGGTTCAGAGTGTTGGACGATTAACAAGAAAAATGCTTAAATGGATGAGTGGAGTGACTAGAGAAGATATGATAAGGAACGGACGTATAAGATGGAGTATAGATGTAGCGTCAATTATGGATAAGATGTGAGAATATAGACTTAGATGGTTTGATCATTTTATGAGGAGAGAAGAATCGGAAAATGTAAGAAAAATTATAAAAATGAATGTTAAAGGAAGATCAAAAAAGATGAAGGAATGTAATTAAATGCAATTTGAAAACGGTTGATATGTGTAGATCGTGTCAAGTAGAAGTTAAGGTTAACGATGGCTGACCCCAAGCAATTGGGATAAAGTTAAGGAAAAAGAAGACTAGGTTAATCCTAAAACAATAATCTTAAAACATTTAGCTTTATTAAGTAGTATTAATTTCTTAATTGATAAGGGGTTAAACATTTTGTAGGTTAATTCCTTATCCCTTAGAAGTGTATCAACTTCATATTTTTTTAATGACAATATAAATATTCAACTATCTTAAATGTTTGAAAATTGTCATTAAAAAAATTACTGGTCGATAACAACTTTTGGACCAGTAGGTCCAAAGAAATTAACCTTTTTTTTGTTGAACATGTGTTCGAAAATCAAGTTTACGGGGAGTCTTATTTTTAAAATTTTGTGCATTGTTTATTTTGTTAATATATGACTCACATAAGAATATTAACTAGCAGTATATAATTTCTTTGCTATCGTTTAATAAATATTACTTAATTCAGTTTTAATATTGAAATAGAACACTTGATTTTTATAAGGTATAGGTTTGATAACAATAAACATTTTTATATTAATTATTAGTTAATATGTCATTTATGAGATCAGTTTTATAATATTTTAAATAAAAAAATGATATGAAATAAAGGAAAAATTGTATTACAAAATTTTAAGTACTAGTGGAACCTAGAAAATTTTTTTAAATGATATTTTGCATGCTAATTATTTATAATAACTAAAAATTTGTCAATTTTAGTATAACAGAAAACCAACAACGATTGTCATATCAAATGTCAAAGGCCATGTTTTAACTAGTGATAAATAAATACCAAAGAAATCTGCTATCTTCTATTTATCAAATTTTTAAGTTTAATTACAAGGCGATCATACAAGCGTATATAATTTTCATGGAAAAAGTTACATACTTACAATTAATGTTTAGCATTATACAATTTCGTTTAAATTTGTCTTATTTTCAATTTATATTGTGATGTTTGACATCATAAAATTAAACATAAAAATTTTAAAATGCTATAGATAATTTATTACTAAAAATTAATAAGATACTTTTTTATCAAATTTTTTGTTTAAGTCTACTCTAAAAAATGATTATCTTGAAATTTTATTTTACATTTTTCGTAAATTTTTATTTTTTTTTAATTAAAAAATTATGGTATTTTTTGATGTTTACTTGGTACACAAGCATAAAAATTATTTAAAGTATAAATTAACGCAAAATATAAATTGGATCAAAATTTATTAAATTTATGACAAATTAAAAAAATATGACATCTTAGTGTTTCACCTTGTATATTAAAGTGTTAATAACTTCCAAAATAATAGTTTGAGAATTGTAATTTCCTAAGTTAGATTATTTTATGTAATATATGAATAGCGTAGAATTATATGCATTTAAAATATTGTTTAAGCCACTTTGAAGGATTCCAAGGTTGTGATCTAATGATTAATTTGGAATTCTAAAACTAATTGACTACTTATAAATCTAGAATCAAATTCTACACAACAAAACCAAGAAAAAAATTATTATTATTTTAGGAGAAATTTAGTGATAAATGATACATAAAACACTTCTTAAATTAATAAGAGATTTGAAAAAAATAACATTCATTTATACTATAATTAAAAGATGTTTTTAATAATAATAATCATAATGGAGTAAGTAATATAGTTTTTTGGCATAGTCATTAAGCAAACAATCATCGTAAGTGAACATTGGGTTTGTTTTTATAAGAATTATCGGTTGGTATGCTTAAGCGTCGGACGGTATTATATTAACAACATAATTTTATTAAGTTGCTCGTAATTTGTAAAAACATTTTGAAAGAATAAACGATTCTCCCATCGGTTTTGTGGGGTCAATTAAAATACAATTAGGTAAGCAGAATAATTAAAAATTAAATTTAAAGCTGTTAAAGTAGATTTTACTGCTACCTGAATAGTCAAAATAAGTGGTGTATATTAAACTAAATTGTAAGGTCTAATTATTTCCTAGCTTTTCGGAAATAATATTGCCTTCGTTCAGTACAGTTTAGCTTTTCTGAGAGATAGCACTTTAGTATAAAGATAACTGTTGTTAAGTGTAGTCGAACGGAACTAAAAGCGTTTATCTAAATCCCTAAAATCTTACCTAAAGAACAAGGTTCGTTCATTTTTGTGTCATTGAAACACGCCGTCTTATTATGGACACTAACTTTGCACCACGAACATGTAAGAGCTATGATATCCTTAGAGCTGAACGATAACACTGATTGAAACGCCTAAAAAGTCACATGTGAGATTATTTAATTTAATTATTTTAATAAATGGCTGTTAATATAGTATAGTGTGAAATGTTCCATTCTAATATATCAATATATCGTTTATATATATATTGTCTATCAAAACTGACCTTTCCGCATTGAGAACATTTGTCTTTTTGCGTTCTCCGGTGCATCCAGTGGTGTTTAACCGTCTTGTGTTCCCTGTATTGTCGCACGCCGTCATCTTTAAAGCTCGATTTGCATTTGGCTGTTTCTGGCAGGTTGTTTAAACACTCTGTGTGTACAATTATTCGACAAGCAGCGCATTTTAGACGAACACCGTGTTTCTGAAAAAAAAAAACATGAAGCTATAATAAAATAGACATGTCGATCAATATGTCGAGTCAGTTGTAATTTTTAGAATATTGACAAGAATACAGTTTGTAGTGTTAGAATATTATCATCATCAGTAATTTAATATGACAGTGTAAACTACAAGTTTAAAAATGATTTTTTGGTCATTAGTAAAGTATTGTATACAAGATGATTGGTATATCATAAATACTAAATAACTTCAAAAATAAATACAATAATAAAAAAATTTTTCTTCTTTTAGTTACGTATATTTCTGGATTTATTGGCTAATAATTACTTATTAGGATCACCCATTACAATTTAAAGGATGATAATGTCAACTTTATTTTTTTAAATGGTAAAATACATATTTAATTAACTTATAAAACCCAGCACAGGGGGGTCGCGGCACAGTGGTGACGTGGCATAGTTGGATCAAGTATAATGATATCTGACAGTGATTAAAATCACTATCAAAAAAAAACGCTTCGATGCAAATCTTTAGATAGTGTTTAATTTTAAAAAATTGGTGGATTATTCCAAAAGCTTCATAAACTGCTAGTTCCTTATTAATATCCTGATTAAGA